TAGAATGGATGGAAATACACAGGAGAGCAGCAGTTAACATATAGGTGAAAGAAAGCATTAAGGCAAACCTGAGACAGTATCTGAGCCAGTTTTCCTATGTAATCCTACTGTTGTTTGAGCATTTTGCAGATATTCAAGATGACGTGCTGTGAGTGGATGGATTGTTTGGAACATAAGACACATTGCAACAACAGGATAGGGCATTGGTTGACAATGGCAAGCAAATAGATGCCACCATTTGGTGGAAGGACCTTTGGAATTGGTGATCAAATGGATTAGGATCATTTTCCATGTTTTGGTTATTACTGCATTGGTATTGGTTCTATACTTGGCATACGTGGGTTATTGCAGCAAAAGGGGACACAAAAGGGATTAGGAGACTGCAGGGGCTGGGCAGATGAGATAAGTGCCTGTATGATCTGTACAGACTGTATAATAAAGTGCTTTTACAAACCCCAACATCAATATCCGGCCAGTATCTATAGGTGGTGAAATGTATGGGAAGCGACATTCCCACTAAGTTGGTAACCTTCAGCTGGACCAAGGATCAAAATGGTGGACAGCAAGGTTTCAGTTAGAAGTGTCTTTTAGTAAAATAGGATGTAAGCAGAAAAGGGTGGAACAAAAGATGAGCAGCTGTACTCTGGAGAGGATTAGAAATGAGATTAGGAGGAAGGGCCAGATTAGGAAGTGAGTAATAGAAACAAGAACACAGTTTACACTGCATAATCAGAAGAATAATGGGGAACCCTGGATGGATAAAAAACAATGCATGATGCGTGTACTGCAGGAACTAAGTGCATTTTGTCAGGATATCTGTTCAACATGTGATTGTAAACTGACAAGATTAAAATTGAGTAAAGGGTTTGTGTACATGACTAAAATTGCATATAAGGAGTGACCATTTGTGGCTTTTCAGAGTACTGTCTTAAACTGCCTAAGGCTAGTGCTCTCTGTTTGTGTTTGAATAATTGATCATAACCTGTACCTAAATGTGCTGGTGATTTACAAAGTTAACTAAAGAAAAAATTGCAATCCCAGCTCTCCTCAATCTTTTCTCTGTGACCTCTCCCCCTTTGTTTCTGACTCAGCAACTTTCCCCACCATCACTCCTCTTGATGATCTCATCTTTGGAATTTCGTCCTCCCAACAAAACTTTTCCACTGTGATATTTTCCCAATGCTCTCTCCCTACACTTGATCACTTCCCAATGATAAACACTGCCTACATCTTATCCTTCCCACAATTTCTTGCTTCTTGCGATCTCTACTCCCCCCCAGTCTCTGCCTCCTGTGACCTCTTTGTCTTTGCGCTCATTCCTCCCCTGTGTTCCCTGCTCTTCCAGAATTCTCATCTGTAAACTCTTCTCCTTATGGTTTCCCTCCCACAGTCTTTGCCTCCCTGTGACCTAGCTCCCATTGAAACATCCCTCTCTTTAAGGTTTCTACCCTGTAATCTCAGTCCCCTCACTTCCCCTTCCTTGTGAACTCTCCTCCCTTTATCCCTCTAGCACTCCTTGTGTCCCACTCAGATGTACTCCACAAGGCTCCAATCTCCTCCAAGTGTCAGGAACCACTGAGGTTGTGGAGGGCAACCTTGGTTTGGCCTTAGCTGTTAGCTACCTTCTGGAAGATGGATGTCTCTATGTGACAAATGTTGGATAGAAATAGTCGAAGAATTACTCATGAATCTCTTCCATTAAAATTCAGCAGAAAATTTATATTTCCAGTATTCCTTGTTTCCTAATTGTAAACATTCTCTCATTTCCACCCCTTAAATATTAGAGTCATGGTATCTAATGGTGTATTTCTCCCACCTGTATGCAAATCAGATATCAACTTGCTGTTGATATTGAATACCAATGCTTGTCTTGGGCTGATAAAATATGTAAAGACCTGCTGTATGCCTCTGCTATCTCTCATTGTTGTAACATGTGAGATCTTGCTGTGCATGCATTAGCTTCTACCATTCCTGTACTGGTATAGTGATGGCTCTTCAAAACACCATCATCGGCTGTACAGCACTTTGAGATTTCCTGCACTCATGAAAGCCACGATATAAATGCAAGTTCTTCCTTCCTTTCTTTAGTGAGCCATTTGTTCGGCGATGTTTATGGCTCCACCAGACTTATGGTTCTGTTCTGCACTTGTCTTTTGTGTCTTCCTGTAAGTATGTGAACTACAATCGTTTCCCCTCAATGATGAGTGACTGCTGCTTGACTGTTTTTGGTTTCTGCAAGTTCTTTTCATTACACTATTGTACATAATCTTGTTCTCCGTAAGTATATCGCTCACTAGTACAGACCATTCCATGTGTTCTTCACATTGTCTTCCTCAAGACTGCTGATATCACTGTTACATTCTGATATATGGCATTTGGTCAGAGAATAGAGATTGTGGGAGAGAGATTGCAGAGGAGGAATGACCACAGTGGAGGAGACTATATGACATATACTCCAACCCTAACAGCAGTTTGTGTGTATCTGCACTATATGGTCTGTAGCAGCATCAGAAGGCACCTCAGGACCACCTGCTCAAGGGCAGTTAGGGATGGGTAATAAATCAGGCCCATCACCCAGCCAGCAATACCCACATCCTGTGAGTGAATTAATACATATCTCTTAGCCATTCTTGTTACACTGCAGTGTCCAAAGCTCAATGATTCACCATTCACTCACATCTTTGCCCTTTTTTGTGGGAAAAGTCTGGACCTCCGTCAATACTTGATCCCTAAATGGAAATTAGCTGACTACATACACTTTGCACTACAGGGCATTACAGTACTGTTATTGCATTTAGATTACAGATAACATTTTCCATAATTTAAAGATTTTGTACATTGACCATCTACGTGCAGTGTTGTTTAAAAACCATTCAAATATAAGGCAGCTGCATTTAGTGACTGTAAGATGATATATGCATTTAAAACCGCAAACTGCTCTGAAATACACCTTGCTGGGAATGTCACTTTGTACAGATAAGGTATTATGACGGCTACCTGGCCTGCAATACCATTGGCTCTCAAGTGTGTAATGATTATGCTAATTAGCAATGACATTATGCAAGTAAGAATCTTTAGTCAGCAAAGCCTATTAGGCTTTTGTCATTACTCAAACCAAACTTTGTCCAGTTTAACAAATGCTGCCTTAGGTCCAAGCAATGGTACTTCAGAGCATCTTGTTGTATGTGAGCACCATTGTAGCGTTCCTCTATTTGAAATGCCTTAATGTTTGTTGTATTTGTTCACCTTCATGGAATTTAGGAATTCAACAGTAAAATCTTCCTTTTGGCAACCTATTCTGAGGAATTATTGTTGGATCAGGTTTACGTGGGCTGACAGAAAACAAAATATGAACTTCAGGTTTCCATCAGTTGGAATCTTTTATTATCTTGATTGGGATATGAGATAAGGGCATTTCTATTTTATACACTTGAGGAAAATCAATTTTGCATTAGTTCGTTTCATAAGTCCAAATTTTGTTCTCAGTGGTAAATAAATATTAAACTGGCTGTCCAATGAACTGGCATTACCCAGAGACTGCTCCAGTTCTTTAATTTTTTCCTCGCCTAAGATGCTCCTTAAAACATATCTTTTGATTAAACTTTAGAAAATCCATACCAGTACTAATACCACTTTATGTAGAACGGTCAATTTTCTTTGGTTGCTGTGTGTTGCCAGAGTCTAACTAGACTGTAGGGCTGCTCTCTCATTGGAGAGAGAGAGAGAGACAACTGGTGGTTTAACCTGAGGGCCACCATACCTCAGGCGAGGGAAGATGTTGAAAAGGAAAGTCCTTCATGTTAACCTCAGCTGGTGATTGGAATTGGACACACACTATTGGCATCACACAGCTTTGCAAACCAACTGTCCAGCCAATTGATACACTCCTGTAAAATGCATGAGACATTTAATTCTATAAATGCCAATTTGATGTTATTATATTGCAAATAACCTTTACTGTAGTTACATTTTGCACACTTCACTCGGATATAATTAGCACCCCAATGTAATTATGCTGGTATTCTTGTGAATTATCCTGATGTGTGCAAGACAAATAGCTTTAAATATGTCTTTTTTCAGCAAGAATAAGATCAATTTGAAACAATTTTTCAGCAATCCACATAGTGATGAAATCTTCTTGACATGTAGTGTGTAAATCAAACAGATATTTTTATTTTCCGATATATCCTTTATTTGTTCTTATAATGTATTCCTAATTCATTTTATATAAAGCTTCTTGATCTTTCTATGACACAAGTTAGAGTTATACCAAACTAACTCAATCCTTCTAGTAAAAGATAGAACCGGATGTGGGATTTAAAGTATATATTTATGTTATTTTTCCTTCTTCCTTCAAACCATAATCAGAACGGTAAGCCACCTCAAATATTTTTGGGCATAAAGTTGAAAGTAGGACTGAGATTGACAGAGTTTTATTCAGGAAAGGCAGCACAGATTTAGGGAGAAGAACCCTGAATGAAGTTAAGGTACAGAACAGACTTGATCCGAATTTTTACTCAGGAGCGGGCCATTCAACATGATGATTGATGTTTACTTCAACTGCATAAATTAAATTTCATTAGCTCCATATACAGTGATATCATTTTCCAACAAAAATCTATCCACTTCAATTGTGAAAGTCTTCATGGTATCCGGGTTGGTGGGATTTTTTGAAGAGAGGACTACTGATTTCCTTATGGTGAGAATGAGTTCTTTTTCGCTTTTATTCCTAAATGGCATGGCTCCAATTTAAGAGCGCTCATGTCCCCATGAAAACTGACATGGGGCTGCTATTACCTCCTTTAGCGTTGCCTTAATTTTGGGCGATGAATATAGAGGAAGGTTTGCCATTTATGTTTCTGTCTCTGGCACACCACCAGCTTGCAAAGCCTGTCGCAGATTAAGCCGGTGTGCAGACAACACAGACAGAGACAAATACACAGTGAGACAGATTAGTCCCCTGTCAGATCAACTCCACACACCCTGCCCCTTGTGCCAACATGGCAGATCACGGCCGGCCAGCACCAGGTAAGTGTCCTCTTTTCATTCAATGTCAAAGACACCAGCATGAAGGATGGTTAGTTTTTGGGGGGCGCGTTGAGATTGTGAGATCGGGAAACCTGGTAAAACATTTGGGATAACGAGCAACCTGAATAGTTGTTTGCAGAAATTGATAAACGCTTGGTCAAAACTAGTTAAGGGAGGCTAATAGAATGCATAAAAGACCTCTTAAATTTCTCAATGAAGTTCTGCCCCTTTAATACAGGTCAGACTTGTCAAATGAATGCATCTAAAGATCTACGAATATCTTACCTGGTTCGCTGCATTCGGGGGCTGCAGAATGGCAATAATCCATTCCTGATGCTTATTTTCTTTAGTATAACACCAATCACAAACTGACTCCTGTAAAATACTTGCAATTAATCGGTTGACTGCCCGGGATTATCACAAGGTGAACAGTATGCTGAGTTTACAGATGAAGCGTCCTACTTTTTAGTGGCGAGTTTGGAAACTTCACATTGAATTTTGTCTTTTTATTATCTCAGTGCATGAGTTGCATGGCTGGTATTCATACTGTGGGGCAGTGAGAGAGATAGGCAGTCTATATATGGATCTATATGATCCATCCATGTGCAGATGATATGGAACCCTAGCCATATATATATGTATAGAGAGAGAGAGAGAGAGACTCAGCTTGGGAGTAATTACTGTGTAAGGCTAGGATGAAGTGAGGGGACAGGACCTTCATAAAGTGTGAGAGCTGGTTCAGAGAATGAACTGCTATTTGCTTTAGATTGCATTACACTCGTCATATGGCCGAAAGTGCTAACTGAGTCACCAGGTTATGTGTAGAGATGTCTCAAAATAGGCACTTTTATTTTCTTACCTCTTCCTTTTTGGACATAAAAATGATTTTTAAAAATATTTTACATTGAAAGCAGAGAAAGTGAATGTGAGAATCTTCCTGAGGTGTGTTCAGATGAGATGTTGACACATTAGTGACACAATTGACTGTCCAAATCAGTGGTTGAATTGTAATATAAATGATGCTGCATTTCAGACATGGTTTGCTTGGTACCATTCTCACCTGGGAGGGTTTAAGCTGTGCTTTAGAGAGGTGAGCCAGTCAACCAGACCAGTCCTGTAGCATAGTTCACGGGGAGTGTTGCACTGTTAGAAGTACTGCTAACACAATGAGAAATTAGACCAACCACCTTGCGTGTACATAACTGATCCCATAGCATTATGTGAAGATGAACAGTTGTATTTTTGATCGATATTCATCCCTCAAGCAACAGCTAGAGCAGATTATCTATTCATTAACATCATTTCTGGCTGTGGGACCACACTGGGTTTCCTACATTAGGGATGTTAGGCTTTAGAAGGTATCACGGGTTGATTCAGAGTTTTGCTATAAAGAAGCAATTCATGGCACTGCGGTGGTGCCACATTGCCATCCCTGGTGCCATTGCTGAAATATAAACATGGATTGACTTATTGGAGATACACCTTTGGGCCTGTCCCCTGACATCAGTGGTGGAACATGAAGTCTGGAGTTTCACTTGGTACAAGTAGAAAGAAGGAACTTTTTAGGACTTTAAATAAACTGAACATGACAATTTGCAAATGCATCAGTAATAAGCATTTGCACCATTTAAAGAAAAGTCTATCAAACTGACAGATACTCTTCAAACTCTTTTAGTAAAGGACAAAAAGAGACTTCCATCTTTTCAAGGTGGACTGGACCCTGATCCAGGACACAGAGGCAAAGCAAACACTGACCCCACGTACCATCTCTTTCCCCCCATCCCCCATCTCCATTTAGAATGCTTGTTTCAATGTTTTACTTTGTGATTCACTTAGTTTACACTGAATGGTAGGTGCAATTATGTTATCCTTTTAGTTCCCATGTCTAGTCAAATTTATTGCAATATAATTCTCATCTGATTTACAAAGAGCTTATATCCCAAAGATGTTTAGATTTCTTATCTGGTTTCTTTTGCTGTTTTGAATTGCTTACAATAGACTTGATAATGAGGAACATTACACACTATTGTGCTTTCGTTAAATGCATGTGGTAAAGGACAAGACTATAAAAAGATCTTTTTAATCCTTCAGCAAGCAGATAGCCTTGTAATCCTTTCACATTGCCTGCTCCAAGACTGCAGCAGCAACATTATAGCAGAACGCTGGAAATTACTGTCTCTCCTCTCCAATGCCACTGTTTTCCAATGTAGCTTGTAACTGAGCTACATGGTGCAGGAATGACTCTGCCTTGATCCTCAATCTGTGCTGAGTTAGCTAATTTCAGTAGGAGTGCTAGAAGGGGCCATTCATCACCCTGGTTTTGGGAAAAGAATATTGAGCAGGTTTCACTCTCATGATACAAACAAAAACAGAAATTATTGGAGAAACTCAATAGGTCTGGCAGTGTCTGTCAGGAGAGAACAGAGTTAACTTTTCAAGTCCAGTGACCCTTCTTCAGAGCGAAATGGTAATTCTGCTTTTCTCCATGGATACTGCAACCTGCTGAGTGTCTTCAGCAATTTCTGTTTTTGTTTGTTTCAGCCTCTTTGTCTTGCTTTATTCTCTCTCTTCATCCTGTGTTATATACAGGCATCTAGGCATGCTTGAGAATGTAAAACATGACTAGGTTCATCTCTATTACCTTTACAGTTGGGTAATCTAATAGTTTCCTTCTGTTAGTCACATATACATTTAATGGTGTTCAGGAGGGAACCCTACAACAATGAAGCTACAACTCACCAATAAACTAACACCCTTGGATGGGGAAATATCAAGGTAGTGAAAACAACAAGGAAAGGAGAAGAGGAGGCAATGGCTTAGTGGTGTTATCGCTGGATTGTTAATCCAGAGACCCAGATAACGGTTTGGGAATCTGGGTTCAAATCCCGCCACAACAGATGGTGGAATTTGAATTAAATAAAAATATCTGGAATTAAGAGTCTAATGATGACCATGCACCCATTGTCAATTGTCAGGAAAAGCCCATCTGGTTCACTAATGTACTTTAAGGAAGGAAACTGCCATCCTTACCTGGTCTGGCCTACATGTGACTCCAGACCCACAGCAATGTGGTTGACTCTGAACTGCCCCCTGGGCAATTAGGGATGGGCAATAAATGCTGCCTAGTCAGTGATGCCCTCAGCCCATAAAAGAAGAAAAAAATGAAAAAGAATAGTTATGAGAAAATGTTTCTTAGGTTGTATATGTCCTATATTGAAGAATGACTGAGAAGCTTCAAATAATTAACTGCTCTTCATGTGGAAAATACTTTAATTAAACAACGCAGAGCCGTCATGCTGTGTATTAAAGTTGGAATGATTGGATTGATTTTCATTTGGGGCATTTGAAGCTGCCATAGTAAAGGGTCTGTATATCACATCGACTGTTGAAGATGACATGTGAAGAAATTTAGGGCACGGCAATGATACGGTAACATTTCTTCTGGGATAAAAAGAAGAAAAATTTACATTTATGTCATGCTTTTGTAACCAATAGAAGTGTCAAAGTACTTTACAGTTAATAAAATACTTTTGAAGTGCTGTCATTCTTATGGGCAGCAGGGCTGTTTGAAATATCAGGAAACACATCAGACCCTTCACCAGATGCCCCAGGCTTAGGTAAGTGTTCCACATGCTCAGGGTCATGAGCCCTGGCCAGTGACTGAACCAATGATTCTTTGGTGATGATGGGGGAAAAGCTAGAACCTTAAGAGACAGCTGCTTTACAGGTAGAGGATCCTTCAGGAAGAAGGATATTTCATTTAAGCACACGTGGAGGACAATGTTCTTTCCTCCTGTCACATTGACGATTGTTCTGTCAACGTAAAAATCAACAAACAACTGAGGAGGAGAGAGAATAATCAGATCACCACTACACAGCATTGTAACGTAGGAAATGTGGCAATGAATTATCCCACAGCAAACTCGTGCAAATAAGAATGTGATGATAGACCAGATAATCTGGGTATTTTTGTTATGATGATTGAGGAATAAATATTGGCCATATTGCACCTCTATGAAGTAGTGACAGGGAATCTGGCAGATGAGGCCTATGCCATTTAAAGGCAGCGTCTCTGATGGTGCCACCCTGGACAGACAGCCATAAGAGCATAAAGACATAAGGGCAGAAGTAGACCATTTAGCCCATCAAGTCTGCTTTGTCATTCAAGATCGTGGCTGATCTGATGATTCTCAATTTCACTTTCCTGTCTTTTCCCCATAACCCTTGATTCTCTTACTGATTTAAAATCTGACTACCTCAACCTTGGAGATACCTCACAACCCAGCTTTGACAGCTATCTGCAGTGAAGAATTAGATAGACTGACTTGCTGAGAGAAATTCCTGCTCGCATCTGTCTTAAATGGGCGACCCCATACTCTGAGATCATGCCCCCTTGTCCTAGATTGTCCCAGGATGTGAAGTATGGTTTCTGTGCTTATGTCTTGGTCTGGGGCTTGAACCTAGAACCTTGTAACTTGGAGGTGTGAGTGCTGACAGTTGGACCAATGTTGCTTAATACAGCAAGTACATGTACTTGCTCTAGTTCATGTAGTTTTATGGGATCTTTGATATCCATCTGTGATTGTAGAGAGGATATTTAGGTAGCACTCTACCTGAAAGATGGCTCTTCAGCCTTGAAACGTTACGTGTATACTGCACTAAAATGTGACTGAAACTCTTAAGCTCTGGCTCAGATGCAAAAGCATGATCACCTAGACAGAAGTACCTTTGTATGGGAGATAGTTATAAAAGAATTCCCCTGGCACAAGTTGTTAAAGAAGCAGAATTTCAAAGACTTTTAAAACACAGATTAGTTGATTGAAAAGATAATTATTAAGGACGTTGAATTGGTTGAGATGTTATGGTTCAACTTTGTAGTGGAGAATTCTTTATTCATTAACGGGATCAAGGTGTCACTGGCTAGGCAGCATTTATTGCCCATCCCTAATTGCCCAGAGGGCAGCTCAGAGTCAACCACATTGGCTGTGGGTCTGGAATCACATGTAGGCCAGACCAGGTAAGGATGGCAATTTCCTTCCCTAAAGAACATTAGTGAACCAGATGGGTTTTTCCAACAATTGACAATGGATTCATGGTCATCATTAGATTCTTAATTCCAGATATTTTATTGAAGTCAAATTCCACCATCTGCCATGATGGGATTTGAATGTGGGTCTCCAGAACTTTATCTGGGTCTCTGGATTAACAGTCCAAGATAATACCACTAGACCATTGCCTCCCCCATAATGCAGAAAGAAATACCTGTTCTCGAACATTTTCAGATTTTATGTAACCTATTTTGTATTCTTAATTGAAGAAATAACCTAATTTTAAAAATAGTTTCTTTCTAAACCTGTCCGATCTTACATTTGAGTAACTTAGTCCATACAAAATATTTGATCTGCTAAAGTATGTGAGGTGTAATAAAGTTGATAGACAGAAAATGTAAAAGCTTGTGCTCTATGTAATAGATTGTTTCTCCACAAAAATGTTGCAAGTGGAATTTTTTTTTAAAGAGTTATTTGTATTTTCTTACTGGCAGGTACACCTATAATCCTTTCACACCATGCATATCAAGAGCCCAGAGAAGCAACAACAAGGGCTAGAACAAAAGAGTTTGAGAAAAATCTTACAGTTCCACGATGTTCACCACGGGCAAATTTCAGCTTGGCCAGTGGTGCTTCAGCCAATGTGACCTCAGCATCACACAGTAAGGAGGAGCTAGAAAACCCACTGGTAAGTATTGCATGTGTGAAGCTGACTAAAACAATGGCTTGCTACCAGGCTTGTCATGGTGACCCTCACTAGAAGATTGCATCCCCTTGACTCAACAGTAAGTGGGGCTCAACACCCACATGGAGCACGTAAGCCAGAATAAAACTATCTTTAATGGTTGGCTCCTTGTATCCTTGGGTGCTTACTACTTTGCTCATTTTTTGCACCATGAGCACAGTGAACAAAAAAACGCATCAGTTACTTTGCAATGGTGCAACAAAGATAACTGGAAATAAGTGAAGAGTTATTGCCTTTTATTTGCCTTTGCCAAATAAAAGATCCTGAAACTTACTGTGCCAACAACCTTAAAGTTGGTTTTACAACCTGACTCATGGATCTTGTGATTCCTGTTGGTCATCCAGTGAGTATCTCAGCAAAGCATAGGCTTTAATAATTTCAGGTTAGGCAAGTCACAGCTCTGTCTCTACCTTTACATATTCCTTGTTTGGCTCTTTTTGAGTGTATTTGATATTCACTGTTACTAAGGACTAAATTGAACAATCAACATTTTTTGTGGAGAATAATATAAATAACATTTGAACTACATCTGTAGTCCAGTTTGATTGCAGAAATTAATTGGATGGCACAAAAACATACAAATGCCTTTCCAGTCTGATAAGTTATGTCCCCCATACTTAGTTTTACTATAAGCAATGTTAGTGAACAATTTGGGTTATGACGAATGGCTAACACATTACAAATCATTTTTCATCTTGCCAATGCCCCAATTTCATCCTCTTGTCTCGAAGAAAAGATGTTTATGGATTGTAACCATAAGATTGGATGTTTCTGATCTAAAACTTCCCCAGACTGTAGAATAGATGTTATGGTTGCTGAAACATAGTTTTGGAAAAGTTTTCCATGTGAAGTAAAGTGCAACATTAATAAGACCATAATCTGTCATGATGTTGGTTGGCTTAGATTTTGTAATATATTACACTGTAACAATTATAAAAATGGGAAGCGCTAGTTTAGACAACTCAACACCCTTTGTCCTTTCTCTTTTTTGTTTTTCCTTAGCTTATTAACAACTACTTTGAAGGCAATGAAGAGGGAGACACTAAGAAAGGCTTGTATTTCAGTGATGGGAAGAGGAAAATAGACTATGTTTTAGTTTATCAAAACAGAAAGCTTGCTTCTCAGTCCACCCCTCAGAGTTCTGAAGCCATTGTCCCAAATGGCACTGCAACAAACAAAGCCTACAAACAATTACGAGGTCCTCTGCAAGAAGTTGTGCTGGATGTTGGCAACCCTCACGAATCTGTGGAAGAGGAAAGGAGAGCCCGCAGAGAGGAGTTTGAGAAGAATCTCATGGAGAATGGACTTGAGATCGAGAAAGACAAGGAGGTGAGAAAGCAAACTGTCTTAAAATCTACAATTTATCACCTCTTAATTTTAGAAAATTGTGACAATGCTGCTCAGTATTCTGTGGTAATTTTGCAAAGAAAAATATTGGAACAAATTTTTAACACTTTTATGTTATGGTAGGGCTTCACCGAAACAAACACAGAAAGTACTGGAGAAACTCAGCCGGTCTGGCAGCATTTATAGAGAGAGAAACAGAGTTAATGTTTCAAGTCTGATATTTACGACCAAATGACTCTTCTTTAGAACCTTGGTTAGCTCTGTTTCTTTCTGTACAGATGCTGCCAGACCTGCTGAGTTTCTTCATCGCTTCTTGTGTTCTTTTCAGATTTCCAGGCTTCATTGAACAAGCTTTTAGTCACCTGCCCAAACGTCTTCTGCTTTGGCGTATGTCAGTTGTCTGATGATGCTTATATGAACAGCGTTTGGATGTTTCACTGAGTTAAAGAAACTGTATAAATGGAAATTGATGCTGCTTTTAATGCTTTTTAAAAATTCTTTCATGAGAAGCTTGCATCACTGGCTAGGCCTGCATTTGTGGCCAATCCCTTGTTGACTTTGTTGTGGGGAGCTGCCTTCTTGAACCACTGCAGTCCAATTTTTACAGATACACCCACAATGCCATTAAGGAGGGAATTCTAGGATTTTAACACAGCGTCAGTGAAGGAATGGCAATATATTTCCAAGTCAGGGTGGTGGTTCTTATATATTTTATCTTATATTACAATAGTAATGTAGGTAAATCATTCTATTCAAAGAAAGCTGCCTGCAATTACACATCCTTTGTGAGTGTTTCATTTCAAAGTGTAATTGCACTGATTTTCCATTTCCTCTCTTTGAATTTCCCTCACTAAGCACTAATTGCTAGCTGAGAAAGCAAAAAACTAAATTCTCGTCTCAACTATCACCACTAGAATGTCATTGGGGTGACTAAGATGTTGACAGTCTGACTGTCTCATTCTCCATTTCTTTTCCTTCGCCCAAGATTAGATTTTGATGTCCACTCAAAACCTTGTTGTGATAAGACAATTTAGACAAGCAGCAGATCACATGGGAATTCCTATACAAGGGTGGCACAGTGGCTCAGTGGTTAGCACTGTTGCCTCACAGTGCCAGGGACCCAGGTTTGATTCCAACCTCAGGCAGCTGTCTGTGTGGAGTTTGCACATTCTCCCTGTGTGTCTATGTGGGTTTCTGCCAGGTGCTCCGGTTTTCTTCTACAGTCCAAAGATGTGCAAGTTAGATGGATTGGCCATACTAAATTGCCCATAGTGTTCAGGGAAGTGTAGGTTAGGTGCATTAGCCACAAGAAATGCAAGACTACATGGATAAGGTAGGGGGATCAGTCTAGTGGGATGCTGTTCGGAAGGTCAGTGTGAACTTGCTGGGCTGAACGGCCTGTCCCTATGCTTTGGGGATTTTATGATTCTATGACATGTATCCCATTATTCCGAAGTTGAGTGTTTGTTAGGCCCCTTGTTGAGATATTTGTATCATTGATAGCCACAGGCGAGGTGCTAGAAGACTGGAGGACGGCCGCTATTTAAGAAAGGTGGTGAGGAAAAGCCAGGGAGCTATAGACCGATGAGCCTGATATCGGCGGTGGGCAAGTTGTTGGAGGGAATCCTGAGGGACAGGATTTACATGTATTTGGAAAGACAAGGACTGATTAGGAATAGTCAAAATTGCTTTGTACTTGGGGGATCATGTGTCACTAACTTGATTGAATTTTTTGAAGAAGTAACAAACGATTGATGAGGGCAGAGCGGTAGATATGATCTATATGGACTTTGGTAAGGTGTTTGACAAGGTTCCTCATTGTAGACTGGTTGGCAAGTTTAGGTCACATGGAATTGAGGGAGAACCAACTATTTGGATTTAGAACTGACTTGAGGTGGAAGACAGAGGGAGGTGGTAGAGGGTTGCTTTTCAGACTGGACCCCTCTTACCAGCAGTATCCCATAAGGATCTGTGCTGGGTCCACTGCTTTTTGTCATTTATATAAATTATTTTGATGTGAACAAAGGAGGTATGGATGGCAAGTTTGCAGATGACACTAAGTGGGGAGGTGTAGTGGACAGTGAAGAAGGTTACCTCAGAGGAGTACAATGGAATCTTGATCAGATGGGCCAATGGGCTGAGGAGCGATAGATGGAGTTTAATTTAGATCAATGTGAGGTGCTGCATTTTGGGAAGGCAAATCAGGGCAGGAGTTATACACTTAATGGTAAGATCCTGGGGAGTGTTGCTGAACAAAGAGACCTTGAGGTGCAGGTTCATAATTCCCTGAAAATAGAGTTGCTGGTAGTTAGGGGTTAGTGAAGAAGGTGTTTGGTATACTTGCCTTTATCGGTCAGGACATTGAATATAGGAATTGGGAGGTCTTGTTGTGGCTGTACAGGACATTGGTTAGGCCACTATTGGAATACTGCATGCAATATTGGTCTCCCTGCTGTAGGAAGAAGGTTATGAAAACTTGAAAGGGTTCAGTAAAGATCTACAAGCATGTTGCCAGGGTGGAAGATTTGAGCAATAGGGAGAGGCTGAATAGGCTGGGGCTATTTTCCTTGGAGCATTGGAGACTGAGGGGATGACCTTATAGAGGTTTATAAAATCATGAGGGGCATGGATGAGGTAAACAGACAAAGGTCTTTTCCCCGGGAAGGAGTGGTTGGGGCATTGGTGTTTGTTTTTTTCCCGATGGCAAGTCTCGAGGTGTTTGACGCCTTCCTGAATGCTGGTCCTCCACTTTGGATGGTGTTGGGCCAGAGATTCCCAGATTTCTGTGGAAATGCTACACTCCACCAGTGAGGCCTTGAGGGTATCACTGATGCACTTCCTCTGTCCACCTGGGGCCTGCCTGCCGTTTCAAAGCTGGAAGTAGAGCACCTGCTTGGGGAGTCTCGTGTCGACCATGTGGACAAGGTGCCCAGCCCATCAAGGTGCTCAGTGCCTCAATGCTGAGAATGTTGGCCTGGTCGAGGACGCTGATGTTGGTGCATCTTTTTCCCAGCGGATTCGCAGGATCTTGTGCAGGCAGTGTTGGTGTACCGCTCCAGTGCCTGGGAGGTGTCTGCTGTAGACAGTCCACGTGTCAGAGCTATATAGGAGGGCGAGAACACTATGATTTTTGGTTGGATCTGATGTTGTTGTTCACAAACACCCTTTTCCTCAGGCAGCTGAAGGCTGAGCTAGCACATTGGAGGCAATGTTGGATGTCTTTATTAGTAGCTGCTTTGGCCGACAGGACACTTCCGAGGTATTGGAAGTGGTCAACGTTCTCTAAGGCCTCCCCGTGCACCTTGATGATGGGGGCTTTGCTCCACAATGCCAGGCCAGGTTGATAAAGGACCCACATCTTGCAGTTGTTCAGAGTGAGACCCATGCTCTCATATGTCTCTGTAAAGATGCTGATGGTGGCCTGGGGCACATCCTTCGAGACTGCAAATATGCAAGCATCATCTGGGTACTGCAGCTCGATGACACTGGTTGGGGTGATGTTGGTTTTGGCTTGAAGGTAGGGGAGGTTGAATAATTTCCCACAGGGCCTGTAAATTAGCTCCGTTCCAGCTGGGAGCTTGTTGGTGGTGAGGTGAAGCATTACACTGAGGTAAATTGAGAACAGTGTTGGGGCAAAGAATGGTATCACCTTGCTAACATCCTTAAGACCACTGAGTCAGGCACAACAAAGCCCAACGGAAGAGTAGGCTCCAGAGAGTTCTTCATGATTCATTCACAAAATAACTACGAAGGCACATTCATGAAGCCAGCTCACTCCATAAAGACTACTGGAGGCCTGAATCCAAAGTTATTTTGTGAGCATAGTTCATGATTCCATTTTTGGCAGGGATGGTAATTCAATTCTTTTGACAATTAAAGAGCAGAAATTATGATTTGGGTGTGAAATAACGTGGAACAACAATGGCCATGACCTCAGCATGTTGAAGTTAAGTACTGCTAAAGCATTTTGAAAGAACTCCACAAAGGCCGGTACCCCGTCTCCAAGTCACCTTTCATTTACACGTGCATAGTTCTTGACAGTGATCCAGCTCCCTCAGAGCCAGCTCTCAGAGGGAACAGAACCTCTGACTCTCCTGTTTATATCTGTCAGCCAGGGCTCCCTGATTGGAGCAGACTAACAGCCTCAATAAGGGAACTCATATTTTATGAGGTCCACCTCGTTACAGTCATTTAGTTCGTTCCCCTCTAAGTCCGGGGACATAATCCTATTCTTTATCTTGTAGCCTGTCCTGGGATGTTTTCACACCGGGTCCGGTTCCTCTGATATGCACAGAGTGCCCTGGATAGTAGCTCGCCTCTTGTGCCCGGAGTGTCTTGGAAGAAATTCATTCTCTTCTTCAGGCAGTAAAGGCATTGAGTCTGCGACATCCACTGTATTCATCTCGGACTCTGAGGTTTCTTTGACGCTAGACAGAGGGGGAGAACCCATGGGTTCTGAAAGCTTTTCTGGTGGTGCTGAGGGGCAGGATATGTTTTGCTGTTGCCCCATTTGTGGGTTTGCAACTTTCCGCGTGCTTGTTCAGGACCGCCTCATCGACCTGAACTCAGGACATGGCCTCGCATTGATCACGCCTCTTACCCATGCAGGGGCTATTTCTGTAGTTTCAGCACCAAACTTTGGCTCCTGATGTAGAGGAGTCTTGTGTCTAGCATTGGTGTTCCAGCTGATGTTTCACACTTTCTCCACCACCCCCCCCACCCGCCTCAGACCCCAATTGCGGGAAATTCGAATTTAATCAATTGTGGAGGTTTAGCCCCATTAGCAACTCAGCTGGAGCACTGCCTGTACTTGCATGAGGGGCGGTCCTATAATCAAATGGGAACCATGAGTGAAGCTGTAGGTCGATTCCTCAAGCCTGCCTTTGGACTACTCTTTCCAGCAGACCGTTGGATGATAGATGGTATGGAGCTGTGCTTATATGCCAAATGCCTTTCGACTTTAGGAAATACTGAAATTCCCAGTGAGTAGATAATAGTCGGTTGTCTGTGACCAACACTTCTGGCAGTCCATATATCGCAAAAAGATGCTCGCAGCTTTTCTATCATCATCTCTGCGTTTGACAAATGAACTTGATGCAAGCCCAACCACATTGAGTGGGCATCCTCAATGACTAAGAACATTGAGCCCCTGAAAGGACCTGCATAGTTGACGGCCCTTTTGTTTTCCCCATCACCACCAGCTGTTTTAGTTTTGCCAGGACAAGATCGTTTTGCCTTCACAATCTGATATTGTCAGCAGTGACCAGAAGGGTGTCCAGAAAGTTTAAAACCAGAACAGATTCTTCCAGTGGCAGCACCACTGGTGTTGTATCCACCAGTGGGAGGCAGATCAAGGTATCTGCATTTGCTGCTTGACCTCCCAGATGGTGTTCCAGCTTGTAATTGTACTCTCTTAGAATGAGAGCCCACTGCTGAATTTGACTTGAAGCTATGGGTGGCAAGGCCTTGTCTTCTTTGAGTAACCCTGGCAGGGATTTGTAGTCTGTCACTATGACAAATTTACCTCCCTAAAAGTATTGGTGGAACCTTCTTACACAAAAGATGACTGCCAAACCTTCCTTCAGCCAAAGTTGGGGAAACATACACTATTGGAAACATACCAGCAGCAGCTACAATGGCTTGCTGGCCTGGATCCTGAGAAAATGTTATCTGTTTGGCTCGGGCTTGGTTTTGTTTTGGGGTTTTGCTGTGGGCTGACTAGAGTCCCTCTGCTAATGATATGTCCTGAGTGAGGCTATGCAATTGCCTTCACTCAAGTGGTGTTCCCCAAGTTCTGTCGGCCTGGCGAGGGCGCCCACTTCCATTAGAATACCCTGTAACTCATATGCTCCACTTGCTGCATTTTCCAATGGTAAAGCCTGTTGTGCCTGTCTGAAGCCCAGTTAGGCTTCAGCTAGTAGCCCTTTTGCATGGTTACATCTTTAATCCCACATACCAAACAGTCTCTCAGCATCTCATTGAGGGCTAAACCAAAATCACATGCCTCTGCCAGTCATCTTAACCATGTCAAAAATCCCAACATGGATTCCCCTGGTTCTTGAGCTGCCAAGTAAAACTGAAAGCATCTCAGTATTAGAGGAGGCTTGGGGTCGTAGAATTCCCTAATTAAATCCATCAACTTTGAAAGCTTTTAATATCTGATGTCTCAGGAAATGTTAGGCTCCTAACAGCTGAAAAGTCTACAGGCCCACAAACTGTCAGGAGAATTACCCATTGCTTTTCATCTGCCCCAAAGTTATTTGCCTAGAAAATACTGGGCCCAGTCATCGATGACAGGATTGAACAAGTCAAGCTTCCCAATAAAAGCATGATGCCAGAAATGCTTACCCGCAACTTAAAGACAAATGCAGCTTAGTTTCTCTTTCTACCCCTGAAATAACTCCACAAAGGCCAGTTTCCATCACCAAGTTACCCTTTATTTACATTTGCATAGTACTAGATACAGGTCCAGCTCCCTCAGAGCCAATTCTAAGAGTGAACAGAACTTCTGATACTCCTGTTTATACCTGTCAGCCAGGGCTCCCTGATTGGACCAGGTTAACAGCCCCAGTCAGGAAACTCAGATTCTATGAGGTCTACCTGGCTAACCTCATTCCAATCACTGCATATTTCACATCTGAAGAATAAACAAAATGGCTGATTAATGATGAGGAATATTCTGCCATATGGTTGAGACTGCCATGAGTGACATTTGTGAACCATGAAATTTTCACACTCGTCTTCCTCTGACCTGTGCACACATAATTTTAGTTAGCAGCTGTCATCACCATATGACGTTAAATCTCTGTACAACGTATAGAAAGTCATGCGTATGTCACACACTTCCAGTAACTGTCTCATTTGCTTTCTAGTAACATTATCCCATCACACTTTCTAAAGAGTGTAATCTCAGACACACCTTAGATAACATATTGGGGATAATAATTTATCATGAATTTTGAAGTTGAGTGCTGCTAAATATGTTATTCATAGACTATTAATCCAGTTAACGTGCTGGGGTCTAATGATGACTATGACACTGTTGTTAATTGTTGGAAAAACTCATGAGGTTTACTCATGTCCTTTAGGGGAGAAAACTGCTGTCCCTACTTTGGCCTACATGTATCTCCAGACCCACAGCAATGTGGTTGACTCTTAATTGCCCTCTGGGAAATTATAGGTGGACAATAAATGCTGGTCAAGTTCTTATGTTTGTAACATTTAAAAGTATTAACTGGTTAAGGGCAAACAATTATATTTCCCTAATTTAGTTCATAAAATTTGTCTTTTTTTTCACAGGCGAAAACCCAAGGCATTGGTTATGTCAGGATACATGCTCCTTGGCATGTTCTCAGTCGAGAGGCAGAATTTCTAAAAATAAAAGTTCAGACCAAAAAGGTATGTTTTCATCTGCTGATGGCTTTAATGTCCGCTGGTAGGGTATGGATAGGATTGAGAGAGAACTGAATCTCCTGTCCCCTTCTGTTACTGTCCACAGCAGGATGTTTTCTGAAAAGAAACTGGGTTTTGTAAGTGTTGTTTCTTCTCCAATAATCTAATGCTGCCTCATTCACAGGCACTCAGACGCACACACAGACACAATGGCACTATCCCCCATCTCTTCCTCCGCTTCATAGATGACTGTATCGGCGCCGCCTCGTGCTCCCAGGTTCATCAACTTTACAGTTGAAACAGTTCATCAAATTTTCTAACGCCTTCCATCCCAACCTCAAGTTCACCTGGACCATCTTTGATACCTCTCTCTCCTTCCTGGACCTCTCTGTCTCCATCTCTGGTAACCACCTGGAAACTGATATCTATTTCAACCCCACCGACTCCCACAGCTACCTGGAATACCCCTCCTCTCACCCACCCTCCTGCAAGAATGTGATCCCCTGTTCCCAATTCCTCCGCCTCCGCCGCATCTGCTCCGAAGATGAGGCATTCCACTCCCGAACATCCCAGATGTCCTCTTATTTCAAGGACTGCAACTTCCCCACTTCAGTGGTCGAAAACGCCCTTGACCGCATCTCTTGCATTTCCCGCACCTCTGCCCTCACACCCCCACCCTGCAATAAAAACAAAGACAGAATTCCCTTGTATCACCCTATTAACCTCCTGATTCAAAGCATCATTCTCTGCCACTTCCGCCACTTGCAATCTGACCCCACTACGAAGGATATATTTCCCTCCCCACCCTTATCTGCCTTCCGGAGGGACCACTCTCGCCGTGACTCCCTCATCTGCTCCATACTCCCCACTAGCCCCACCAACCCCCGCACCTTTCTCTGCAACTGCAGGAGGTGCTACACCTGCCTCTACACCTCACCTCCATCCCAGGGCCCAAAAAAACCTTCCACATCAGACAGATGTTCACCTGCACATCTGCTAATGTGGTCCATTGTATCCGCTGTTCCTGACGTGGCCACCTCTACATCGGGGAGACCAAGCAGAGGCTCAGAGACCACTTTGTGGGGCACCTACGCTCGGTTTGCAACAAACGACAACACGTCCCAATCGCGAATCACTTCAACTCCCCCTCCCACTCCCTGGATGACATGTCCATCCTGGGCCTCCTGCAGTGTCACAATGATGCCACCCAGAAACTGAAGGAGCAGCACCTCATATTCCGCCTTGGAAGCCTACAACCCAATGGTCTCAATGTGGACTTTACTAGCTTCAAAATCTCCCCACCCAAGACCAACCTTATCCTCGCCTCTTTGACCTGTCCGTCTTCTCTCCCACCCTCCCACCTCACTGACCAATCCCCACCACTACCTACCTGCTATCGCCATCTCACTTACCTTCCCCAGCCCAACCCCGCCCCTCTCTTTATTTCAGAGCCCCCTTCCCCTCCCCCATTTCTGAAGAAGGGTCTCAACCCGAAACGTCAGCTTTCCTGCTCCTCTGATGCTGCCTGGCCTGCTGTGTTCCTCCAGCTCCACTCTGTGTTATCACACACAGACTTACTTCCTCTCTCTTGAGAAAAAGTACAGTTAAAGTAGATAGTGCAGTTTTACAAGTTGCAGACAAAGAAATAGATTGCAATCATGTATCGCAATACTAGCAGGTCAACTTTGTGAGACAACAAGGTGCAGAGCTGGATGAACACAGCAGGCCAAGCAGCATCATAGGAGCAGAAAGGCTGACGTTTCGGCCTAGACCCTTCATCAGAACTTTGTATCCTGGTGGAACAAGCTTGGTGACCTTATGATGTTGCAGTTTGAAGGCATAAATGTTATTTATTTTGCTGCTGCTCCTATTCCTTCCTATGTGCTCATAGACAGACTAGCTTCTCCCTGGTTGGTAATAAGATTTTATATTTGTCCACCCAGAATTAGTTACATTTCAAAGCCATTGCTACACAATGGGTGTTGAATAGTTGTCATTCAACATGATTTAAACGGGATTCTGTGCACCTCTGTTTGTTAAGTTTCTAGTTCAGAGACAGTAGTTTAGGGATCCATAGATTTTGAGTTTTGACCATGTCCTCAAAACAATAGAAGGTGTGAATTCCACACATGTTTTTGTTTTGGCATGTTGCTTCAAGAGAAAAATTCCCCCATGGCTATTCAATGAGGAACTTTCCAGAGACCTGAAATACTTCTGACACTGTACAAAACTTGTGAGACTCACTGGACTCTCGGTAGCTGTCTTTCCACCCTTTTATCGTCCACTTGAATGGGAAAGACAGATCTAGAAAAAAAATCTACACTGATTACATTCCACATTGAAAGTGATGAATGGGGCATGTCTTTACTGGCACACCATGTCATGTAAAAAGATTTAGAATTAGCATCTTCTTTTTAGCTTCACAGTGGGATAGCTCATAATCCTAGAGAGCTAAATTATTTACGCCGTTCATACAATGGATTGATATATTGATACAGTTATATAAAGTGCTATAATTGTGGTATTGTTATGAATTGATTAGAGTACTGTAGTATTGGCATATTATGATATTGTTATCTTATAATATTGTAACATTGGATATTGAGCTGGTGTTATTGTGATATTCTTACATGTGATATTGTATTGTTGGGATATTGTGCTATTCAATAGTGTGACACCATTTGCAACATTTAAATGTGGGCATTGTCTTAATAGATAATGTAACATTGTATTGGGGTATTGTGTTATCATTGTTTTGTCAGACTGTTTGGGAATTATGAAACGAAAGTTTTGTGATGTTAGCACATGTAATACTGGGGTTTTGTAATACTGGCATTTTGGGTATCTTTGTAACTCTGATACATTAATAAGTGCAAATGACACGACATGAAATTGGCTGTCTCCTGTGAACATATTATTAACATACAATGTGGTTGCTGTTTGTAATTTGGGATTACAATATCTCTTTCATAAGACTAGAAACTTGAATCAAAGAAAATATGTGTGCTAAAGACAGCTGAGATTGTAGATCTACACTCAATTAAAGCATTAGGTTGTTTATGATGGCCAGCAGAGATGACCAAAAACATTGTGGATGCGGATTTCTCAGTTTGCTAGAATGTCAGCATAAAGAATCATCTCAATCTATGAGACATTCATCAGATTTTTGGGGTGAATTCTTAGAGACCTCCCTTAAGTTAATATCCTTAGTGGTTTTAAGGAGAGTGCAAAACTGTTAATGACATAAAATAAAAACTTGTAAAATAATAACTTGCAAAAATAATAATCTGTTATATTATTGAATTATTCATAAATGTCTAAAACTGTTGTTTGTGAGTAAATAATCTGGAGTGCTGAGTAACAATGTATTGGTCCACCAGCGACATAGAGAATAGCAAGAAATACACTGAATGAGGGTCCAGCAAATTTGAGTGTGATTATTTCTAATGACTGAGAACCAGAAGCCATAACTTGATGACAGTAGGTACATGTGGGCAGAGAAGCTACATTATATAAATTTCAATGCTGAATTATATCGAAAATCAAACCAAATTAGTGCCAAGTGGAGAGAATTGTGTAAAATTAAAATGAGCACAGCAACATGGGAACACCACCACTTTCAAATCTCCCTCCAAGCCACTCACCATCCTGACTTGGAAATATATTGTCGTTCCTTGCTGGGTCAAAATCCTGGAATTCCCTCCCTAATGGCATTGTGGGTCAACCCACAACAGGAGGACTAGAGTGGTTCAAGAAGGCAGCTCACCACCACCTTCTCAAGGGCAGCTAGGGATGGGCAATAAATGCTGGCCAGCCAGCGATGCCCACATCCCACCAATTGAATTAAAAAAATAAAAACATGTCACCAACCAGTGATGAATTGAGAAGCTAATGATATGGTAGAGGCTTTATATTTGGTGAAATTTTTCAAATCGCCATAAAACTACAAAGAATCCTTTAGGAATATTAGTGGGACACTTGGATTCCAGGGAACCCTTGGTTGGCTTAAAGAAACGTACTTATTCTGATCCCTATAACTGAACATAAATTTTCAAACATACCTAATAATGTAAAGACATAAAAGCAGTAATAAACAAGTGCTTTCCAGTTCGGGTGAAATATTTCAGTTAGAGTTGCGATTCGAGTCCTGAGCTGGCGATTTATTCATTATTGGATCATGCAGGTAGACCTTTAAACAGCTTGAGGCAATTTGTGTAATAAAGATGTAGGTCAGCTCTCATGAGCGATTATCTCTAGGCTGAATCAGAAATCCTTTCCCAGACTCGACCGGGAAATTACCTGCTGTGTTGCATATCACTTGCAAGTTTCAGCACAACATTTGTTGAATGATTAAGCTCAAGTTGACCTCAAAATTTTAAACCCCTCAAAATACTTCTTGAAAATTTTGCCACCTAAAAGAATTGTTATAATTGAATTTGATTCTTTAAGTGAAAGCGATAGCCGGTGTAAAGTAGGGCACTGCAGCTGCCAGCCATTGAAAAGTTCATCGTATACAGTGATAGCTATTGAAGGACATAAGAAGATTTCCTTCCATTAATACGAAAGAATATGGGAGACAAATTAAGTACCATCTCCATCACCAAAGAAGCAGTAGACAAACTAACGGGGATAAAAGCAGTTAAGTCCCCTGGCCCTATTGGCTTGCATCCTAGAATCCTAAAAGAAATAGTTACAGAAACAGTGAATGAATTGGTTGTAAACTTCCAAAAATTCCATCTTTATTCAAAAAGTGAGGAGGTAAAAAGCAGGTTAATTAGCCTAATATTTATTGTTGGAGAAATATTGGAGTCAATTATTGAGGAAGTAATAGCAGAACATTTGGAAAATCATAATCTAATCAAGCAGAGGCTTCATGAAAGTTTTTTTTTCGAGCAAGTCTCAACCAGAGTTGATAGAGGGGAACCAGTAGATGTGATGCATTTGGATTTCCAGAAGGCATTCAACGAGGTAGCTCAGAAAAGGTTAAGTCATAAGATAAGAGCCCATGGTGTTGGAGGTAATATATTGTCATGGCTAGAGAATTGGTACATGGCAGGAAACAGTGAGCGAGGTTAAAGGGTTCTTTTCAGGTAGGTGACCCTTGCTCAGTGAGGTATTACAGGGATCAATGCTGGGTACAGTTAAAATATATATTATTGACTGATTGATTGATTGATTTATTGTCACGCGTACCAGAATACGTTGTAAACCTTTGTTTACGAGAAGTACAGACAGACTGTGATAAGCAAGGATGTACAGATCAAAGATTGTAAAAAACTTGGACAGATGCATACAAATGACATTGTACAGGGCGTATGCTAGGCGATATCAACATTAGCAAGATCAGCATTATTTGAGGCTAGAAAGTCCATTCATTAGTCTAATAAGGGCAGGGAAAAAGCTGTTTCTGAACCTGCTTGTGCGTGTGTTCAGGCTAGTGTATCTTCTGAATGACAGAGGGGGTAGTAGGAGATCATTACCGGGGTGCGATGGGTCTTTGATGATGTTGGCCACCTTTCCGCAGTAGTGAGCCATGTAAATGGAGTCCATGGCTGGAAGGTTGGCTTCCGTGATGGTCTGGGCTGTGCACACCACCTTCGGTAGTTTCTTCCAGTCCTGGGCAGAGCATTTGCCGTGCCAGGCTGTAATGCATCCAGATAGTACGCTTTCAATGGTGCATCTGTAGAAGTTGGTGAGGGACCTTATGGACATGCCAAATTTCCTGAGCTGCCTGAGGAAGAAGAGGCGTTGTTGTGTCTTCTTGACTGCCCCATCTACGTGGGAAGTCTAAGACAGGTTGTCAGTTATTGTCCGAGGAACTGGACTCTCTCCACCCTCTCAACCTTGGTTACCTTGATGGGGGCGTGTTCTCCTCCTTTCTTTCTGAAGTCAAAGATCCGTTCTTTAGTTCTGCTGACAGTCGGAGAGAGGTTGTTTTCATTGCAACATGTCACCAAGCCCTCTATCTCCCTTCTGTACTTTGACTTGTCATTTTTAGGTGTCCATCCTACTACGGTGGTGTCATCAGTGAACTTGTAGATGGTGCTCATTCAGAATTTGGCAACGCAATCATGGATATACAGAGAGTACAGTCGGGGGCTGAGAATGCATCCTCAGTGGGGTGGGGGCTCCAGTGTTGAGTGTTATTGTGGAGGGGGTGCAGTTACCTATCCTCACTGATTGTGATGTGTGGGTCAGAAAACTGAGGATCAAGTTGAAGAGGGCGGAGCCGAGACCAATGTCTTGGAGTTTGAGATCAGTCTGGAGGGGATAATGGTGTTGAAGGTGGAGCAGTTGTCAATGAGCAGGAGTCTGACATAGGTGTCCTTTTTGTCCAGATGTTCCAGGGATGACTGCAGGGCTAGGGATATGGCATCCTTTGTGGACCTGTTACATTGGTAGGTAAGTTGTAGGGGATCGAGGCAGGCTGGGATACTGGAGTTGACGTGGGTCATAACCAGTCTCTCGAAGCACTTCATGATTATTGAGGTCAGAGCCATTGGACGGTTGTCATTAAGGCACATCGCATGTGTTTTCTTGGGTGCGGGGATGATGGTGGACTTCTTGAAGCGGGTGGGGACTTCAGCTTGTCGTAAGGAGAGGTTGAAGATATCGGTGAGCACCATCGCCGGTCGGTCCACACAGGAGCTGAGTGCTTGGACAGGGACTCCATCCGGGTCCATTACTTTCCTTGGGTTGTCCCCCAGGGAGACGGATCTGATGGCTGCAGTGGTGACAGTGGGAACCAGTGTGTCAGAGGCTACCGGGTCAGGTGTCACTGCACCGCTGGCTTTCTGCTCAAACCGAACATAGAAAGCATTGAGCGCATCAGGGTGGAATGTGTCTTTGTCCTCTATCTTACACTGTTTCATTTTGTATCCCATAATGTTGTTTAGACCTTGACACAGGTGATGGGAGTCTGTTTGGCAGATTTGGGTCTCTAACTTGGTCCGGTACTGCCTCTTGGCCTCCCTGATGACTTTGCAGAGGTCATATCTGGATTTCAGAGGAAGAAAATGAGTGTATTGTAGCCAAATATGCAGACAGCACTAAATTAGGTGGAAAGACAGGTTGTGGAAGTGATACAAACTGTTTACAGAGAGATGTTGATAGGTTAAGTAGGCAAAAAGTCAACAAATGGAGTATACTGTGGGAAAATCTGAAGTTGTTCATTTTGGAAGGGAGAACAAAAGAACAGAATATTGTTTATATGGAGAAGAACTGCAGAAAGCTGCATCACTAAAGGATATGGGGGTAACTGCACATGGAACACAGCAAGCTAGCACACGGGTGCAGCAGGCTAATCAGGAAGGCTGATGGAATTTGGCCCTCATTTCAAGGCCCTTATTTTGGAGTATAAGAATTAGGAAGTCTTACTGAAACTGTACAAGGTGCTATTGAGACCACATCTAGAATACAATGAGCAGTTTTGGTTCCCCTTATTTACGGAAAGAGGAGGTAGTTCACCATGATAATCCATGGTAAGGAGGGTTTTCTAAAAAATTCATTCACAGGATGAGGGTGTTACTGGCTGAGCCAGCATTTATTGTCCATCCCTAATTGCCCAGAGGGCAGTTAACAGTCAACCATGTTGCTGTCAGTTAGAAGTTACATGTAGGCGAGACCATGTAAGGATGGTAGTTTTCTTCCCTACACAACAATAGTGAACCAAATGGGTTTTTCCCAACAATTGATTCATGACAATCATTTGACTCTTAACTCCAGATTTTTATTGAATTCAAATTCCACCATCTGCCATGGCAGGATTTGAACCTGGGCCCTAAGAACATTATCTGGGTCTCTAAATTAACAGTTCAGTCATAATACCACTAGGCCATCACCTCTCCATGTCTTATGAGCAAAGTTTAAACTGACTGGAGTTCAGAAGAATGAGAGGTGATCTCATTGAAACATGTAGGATTCTTATGGAGCTTGACAGGGTAAATGCTGAGAGGATGTTTCCCCTCATGGGAGAGTCTAGGGCCAGAGGACAAAATCTCAGATTAAAGGGGCCTCAATTTAAGACTGAGATGAGGAGGAATTTCTTCTATCAGAGGGTTGTGAGTCTTTGGAACTCCTTGCCACAGAGAGGATGAGGATAAGGAGAACTGAATTACAGACTGCCAGTTGATGTTAGCTGTTTACCATCAGGCAGGCGATGGACATGTGTGGTTCAGACAGTGGATACTACATGATGTTTGACGCCGCCCCCCCCTCCCGCCCCCCCGCCAAGGTCAAGCAGGTGGGATTTAAAGCAGAGCGTGACCATTTCTCAGCATAGAATTCCAACAGCGTGAAAGCAGGCCATTCAGCCCATTGAGTCCACAGTGACCCTCTGAAGAGCATCCCACTCAGATCCACCCCCATACCATAGCCCATCCCTGTATCCCTGCGTTTTCCCATGACTAATCCACCTAGCCTGTACATCCCTGGACACTATGGGCAATTTAGCATGGCCAATCCACCTAACCTGCACCTCTTTGGACTGTGGGAGGAAACCGGAGCACCTGGAGGAAACCCACGCAGACACGGGGAGAATGTGCAAACTCCACTCAGACAGTCACCTAAGGCTGAAATTGGACCCGCGTCCCAGCGCTGTGAGGCAAAAATGCTAACCACTGAGCCACCATGCCATCCCAGCAGGTGGGGAACAGTTCAAACTGACCTTCTGAAGTTGACAATCCCAACTGATCCAGGGTCACAGCTGGGTGATAGTGATAAAGTGGCGATGGGCTACTAGATAAATCCTTTGGACCAGGGCTTAAAGCTCAGATAGTATTGAGCTCCAATTGTTTGTGAGGTTAAAAGGTTGGATTAATCATATATTACGGTCGTCTTTTGAGGTCATTGAGAAATGTCTGGAATATTGGCCAGAAAATTTGCCTCTGCAGCAGCAGCTGTTTAGGTGCAATGGGTGCTGTTAAAAAGCATATTTTAATATGAAAAAGGCATTTAAACCTCAAAGCAGTTAAAGTTTGAAAATTGTGTCCATGACGTGCATATTTACAGTGCAGGCTTTAGGTTGCAGGTCCAAGAAAATGCAGACTGAAAAAAAACACTTCATGCCCTGGGGATAGTGATAACAATTGTAGGCAGTCCTGTGTGGCTGAGATTAATTTAAGCATTCATACTTTTATTTTTTCTCAGGCTTTTGAAATCCAACAGGAGGATGGAATCGCAGCAAAAATGAACTCCATCTGGCAAAAGTTCACAAAGCCTTTGCAACCCAGAAATGAACAGTCGACCCAGAAAAGCAAGCACCTGTCATATCCCTTCACCAGAGACAAGATGTATTTGTAAGCAATGCACGCACACAAAAAAACATTCGTTGGGAAAAGTTTGATAAAGTTTATTATTACTCACTTTTAGATGTTCTGACAGATTGAACATTCAAGAGATGCAATGGAATGATCCTTGCAATGAATGTGGAACTTAGCACCAAAGTTATTTGTTTTAACTTGTGGTTTTTTAAAATAATTTTTGCTTCATTCTAGACCTTGTCATTAATTGTCCCTGGCTATTAACGTTGTATTTGTACAAAACAGTTCAGCTTCATAGGTCAAATGGCATTAATATAGTGTGTGTAAGATAGAATGGAGTGTAATAGATTCTCACCCTGACTTAGAAATATTTCACCCTTCCTTAAACGTCGCTTGGAACTCAGTCCCTAGTGACTTTGTTGATGTACTTACATTTCATGAACTGTGCCGGTTCAAGAAGGCAGTTCGCCACAATCCTCTCAACGGCAACCACAGATAGGTAATAAATGCTGGCCCAGCCAGCGACACCCACATACCCTGTATAAACAATATAAAACTTTGCAGTGCATTCTCTTGAAAGGACTCTTCTTGCCTTATTCACCCTCAACATATCCTTGCAATTTAAAAAAAATTATTTGTTTGAAAGTACAATCATGGAGGAAATATTGCAATATTACAGATGAGATAATGTAAAAATCAAAGCATTTAAAAGGTGCAGTGTGGAGCTTGATGTGAGGGCTGATGAAAAATGCTTTTGTCCGAGAGCTTGTAAGCATTTAATCAGAGGTTCCCAAAGGTTTCAAAAACCTGAAGATTCTGCTTCCAAGGGGAGGGTGAAGCAATGTGGATGAGGGCAGGGGAACGCACAAACCTTTAGCCATATTTCTGCTCTTTACAGGTACAATGTGACAAATAAGGAAACCTTTTTTGACAATTCAACCCGGAGTCGAATAGTAAGTCACACTGCCAGACTGTAAGGAATATAGTGACTTTTAATTACATTGACTGCAACATTTCCATTGTGATATTTGCCTGAGACAGCCAAATAGTATCCCTAAAAATCAGGAACAACTTGGTGTTGCATGACCTCACTGCCTTAAACTGATATACCATGCAAATGTTTAACTGTCCCTGAAACAATGGTGTAGATGTCAATTTTTACCCTTTGTCCAAATATGGTGAATATGGTTCACACCAAGTGCTGGGAAGAGAGATGATAACAACCTATAAATTGAATTTAAAAGCCTTGGGATAATGATTAACTGAGCTCCTGTGAGACTCAACATTCAATTTTTTTTTTACCTTCTGTTCTTGTTCAGCTGAAACACTTTGGATGCTTCTACAAACCTAGCCATCAACAAAGGATTACTTTTGGTGGGGGGATGTTTATTATAATTATAATTGGTAAATAAAAATTATTGCAAAACTATATATTATTTCTGAATTATTGAAACACGGTAAGCTCCCTCACCTGCTGTACTGGAAATATTTCATCAAAAATATTATATAGACTTTATTCTGCTTATCCTTTACATTGAGGTTCTCTGTGTCTAAGTCAAACAGACTTTCAAGACAAAATATGGAATATAACATGAAAACTAGGAACTATTACAACTACTGTTTATTTACATATGCTTCCTTGCATTTTGTGACCTTGGTAAGAATATAAGACATGTGAATATAATTAAGACTCAATTGCTTGGGGTTCAAAAGTTGCTTAAATCTATAGGTTGCATTTTGGGACACACCTGTTCCCTCACGTAGGTGTAGTTCTCGTTGTGAGCTTTGACTTTTTTTTCATTCTTTACAGGTTTATGAAATTTTGAAGCGGACATCTTGTGCAACAGCCGGATATAACGTGGGTAAGGCTATTACATTAGCCAATACAGCATCTTTCAGCATGGTTTTATAGCAATTTTTGAAGTTTACACGTATGTAAAACATTGCAATCTTTTTGGAGTGGTGTTTTCTCAAGTCAAACATTGGTTATTTACATCATCCTACGGCTACAGGAGGATGTTTTCGAAAACGTATTATTTTAAAAATATTTCTGTTTGTTTAAACCTAGTTCTCAAGGGATAACATCCTTTGAAGAGCAGGGTCAGAAACTGTAGATTAAAATTCTGATGAAGGGTCTGCGTTAAAGTGATCTAGACCCCCTGTCTTCTCACTATATCGGAACTGGCAGGCAGTAAAAGTCAGCCTGGAGACTTGTCCATCAACACTCTGCTTTTTTCCTGCTGTTTTTAGTTATTACTTGCCTAATAGTGGAGTAGCTGGAAACTAAACCAGCCTGCACAGACATGAGTCTTCAATAAGTACACTGATCAGACTTTAATTTAGATCATTGAGTCTCCTATGCTACTTTAATGAATGGCCTGGATGGAAGCGAGACCCAAAGAGGTATCTTTGTTTTTCACTTTTCCCGTGTGGGGTCTGGAGGAACAGGATGGAAATTATTTCCTGTGATGAGGGAGCTGAGAAACAAGGGTGCACTGAATTAGAGTGAAACCATTAAGGGGTGTGCTCAGGAAGCACTGTTCACACAAAGATTAATGAAAACCTGGAGCTGTCTCCCCAGAAACCTGGAATTGTGATGTTTTGGTTGTTTGCAGCATGGCCTTCAGAGTTTCAGATGTAAGAGAAGCCAATGGTATAAGTGTATAAACCATCAAAGATCTAATTAAATGGCAGAATGTGTTTGAGGTGCTGTATGGTCCACTCCTCTTCTATTGTTGCTTAATGTTGGCTTGTGTCATGAATAAAAGGGACTTCCACATCATTACTTTAAAATTCCACCTTAAGAAAGCCGACTTGATACAAATTACAGCTTGGTCCTCAAGAATATATGATATCACTGGTCATTGGTATTCACACTATTGGTGATACCTTACAATTTCATGTGCACTGAAAATCCAACTGAAATATCTGTCTCTCCTGTCACCACCAGCTGTAAAGCAGAGAATTGAAGGGTTAGCAGAGAGCAGCTCATGGCTGTTATAATTGAAAAAGGCCTGTTCTTGAAATTACAATGTGTACATAATTCTATATGACCACTTAGGAAACTCTCATGACGCGTTTTGGTTAATTATTTTCACAGGGACAATGGTTATTTGCAATAGAATTCAATACATTAAGTTTATTTGCAAGTGTGTATTGTCAAATCTCCTGTGACTGAAGTTGCCCTTATACTGCAGCTGTAAGTCAGGGACTAATATCTGTGGAATGTCAGACACTGCCATGAAACGGGAGACATACAGCTGACTGTACATTATTCCAGTTGTAGGCAGGTTAGCCACAAATGCTGTCTGTATTTTTGGGCCTGTATGTATTGATCAGGCCACTGTACCCTAATCGCTAATGCCATGGAGGGGAAGAATACTTGCATTCACTTGCACTCACCGTTGAAAAATTTATTACAAAACTTTGTAAAACTTTGTATGACGTCCTGTGGACACCTAGGACAACTTTCAAAAGTAGCTTCAGCCTCATCTATTGCAAGCAGTGCAGTCTTTTACTCCAACCTATGGGTTTAGGCTGAGATATTGTTGATTCCTGACTCAAAGAAGGTTGGATGCGAGTGAAGTCTTGATTCAACATAATCGTTGTAAGCTGGGGCCTGTAAAATTTTTGACTGGAAGTTATGGTTAGAAGATGAGAGTCTGCTCAGTTTTTAATTCTATTACATGCTTGAATTTAGTTGCAAGTTTCTTGATTTTAACTGTAAATTTGTTTTCAGGTATAACCACTTTAATAGCAAATGGAGTTTATGATTCAGCTTTCCCTCTTCATGATGTAAGTATGTATTATGTTTTCATAGGATATCTACAGTGTGGAAGCAGACCATTTGGCCTGTCGAGTCCACACCGACCCTCCAAAGAGCATCCCATCCAGAGTCACCCTATGACCCTGCATTTCTTATGGCTAATCCACCTAGCCTGCACATCTCTGGACACTACAGGCAATTTAGTATGGCCAATCCAGCTAACCTGCACATCTTTGGACTGTGGGAGGAAACAGAGCACCCAGAGGAAACCCATACAGACATGGGGAGAATGTGCAAACTCAACACAGGTGCCTAAAGGTGGTATTGAACCCAGGTCCCTGGTGCTCTGAGGCAGCAGTGCTAACCGCTGAGCAACCCAGCCATCCAAATTTTTCTAGGATGTCTTGTGTAGATGGTGGCATCCTTGCCTCTGAGCAAGAAGCTCTGAATTTGAGTCACCGCAGGATCTAATGGATAAGGAAGGCACATTCAGAATCTGGGTGGGATGCTCCTCGGAGGGTCGGTGCACACTCAGTGGTCTGAATGGCCTCAATCTGCACTGTAGACGCTGTATGATTCTATGATTCTATCTGAATATGATTGACTCCCGTCCTGCCACCAGGGGGCTATTGATTAATCAGATGGAGTTAGAAGAATGGCCTTTCAAGGTGAGAGAAAGCCGTGTGGCTCCCGTTTAATCCTTAAACCACTACTGAATTGGAGTGGTCTCAGGGATAATGGGCATTAATTTGATCATTAATGAATGTAATTGACATCCCACCAACAACGGTCGGGAAACTTATATCAGCCATTTCCTCCATCTGACGTAATCAGAGGAGGTCTTTTTTCCGCTTGGACCCAGAAGTTGCGCCTATCTGTGATTATGTGGCTCTGCGCTATGTTTTCCATCCCAATTGGCCGCATTAAATCCAGCCAGTGTTCGAATGTTTAACTCACTACAGAATCTGAAATGTGCTATGATGAGGAACAACTAAGGTGAATACCATTGACTTATTTGGAGGAAAGCTGGATAAACACAGGAGGAGAAAATGAATGGAGGGTTACGTTGAAAAAAAAATAATTTGAGATTTTGGCATCTCTGGCTAGATTTGTACTTCTTGCCCATCAGCCATTTAAGCATTCAACTGCACTAGGTCTGGAGTCACATGTAGGCAAGCTGATTTCCCTTCCTAGAGGGTGTTGGTGAATGAAATGGGTTTTCGTAACAGTTGACAGTGACTACATGGTCACCAGTAAGCTACCCTTTTATTCCCAATTTATTTTATTGAATTCAAACTTCACTATTTGTCTTGGTGGGATTTGAACCAATGTCCCCATTACACTATTAGTCCAACAACATTTCCACAATATCACTGCCTTCCCTCATGTTGATGGGCGTAGATCAAGAATTGTGGGTATAACTTGTGTGGAGTGGTTGGGATGAATGTTCTGTTTACTGGACACTCCATTTAATTCCATGTAAAATTTAATTTTTGAAGGGTGATTATGAAGACACTGATCCAGAAGAGAATGAACGCAAGGTAAGGCTGTCATCAAATTTATTTAGCTATTGTAACATCTCTCACATTTGTTTTCAAATATGCAGGTGCAAAGATATCAACAATATTTTTGTGTCTTAGGCAGCTCTTCACTTTATGGCTCTGGGCCAGTGTGTTAATCATTGGAGAAAGACAACAGCCAAAAGGAGAAGTCAGAGATACCTGAATTGTACTAATTTTTGGCATCTCTGGTTTCCTGGTGCTCTGAAAAATAGTTTAAGCAAACCTATTTTCTATGTGGAAAATTGACCAGATTCTCTTGTTGTGGTGAATGATAATTGCATAACAAGTATCATCTTGGACTCAAAATGTTAACTGTTTCTCTTTCCACAAGTATCTTTCCAAAGATATTGCCAGAACCACTGAGTTTCGCTAGCAATTTCTGCTTTTATTTCAGGCCTCCAGACCCACAGCAATGTGGTTGACTCTTAACTGCCCTCTGGGCAGTTAGGGATGGGCAATAAATGCTGGCCTAGGCAGCGATCCCCTAATCCCATGAATGAATTAAAAAACAATCAAGACTGCTTCAACTGGGAATCTGAAAGAAATTTTCCTCCCGTCAGCCTTAAATTATCAGCCAAGACTGCGCACAGTCTGGGTTGGAAGTCTGAACTCATTTCTCTATTTTTCTAATTTATTGCTGGAACTTTTATTTCTCTATTTTTCTAACTTTTTTTCCTAAGAATTTGTACTTAAAGGATCTATATCCAGGTACCTTGGTACCCAAGATGGCACCATAAGTGGTGACTTGTAAACTTTTCACTCTACTATGTGAGTACATGTGATAATAAAGCTAATTCTAATTTTAAGGTGAAGGACAGTTGTGTGGAAAGCAGTCAGATAAATTTAAATGACAATCTTTTCTGTATTATTTCTTCCCCTTACACTGGATATGTAATGTTTTTATTTAAGGGCTGCCATATAAATCATGTGCCATTTGTTTATGATTCCAATGCTTTTACACATTCTGTCTGCAAATTCACAGCCCATGTCCAAGATGCAACAAAAAATACACATCAAACACAGCCATCATTACAGATCTTTGCTTTGTGTCAAAGCTAATGGTTCTAAAGAAATTATTGTTCATATTGCAGTAAGTTTTATCCAGCCTGGAGATTCTACACAGACCTTGGGTAGAGACAATTAAGATCTTCATGAATACCTGAAGGAAACAGTTATATTCTACAGCTCCCAGGAGCCCTTTTTAATTATGCCTAGGTAGTTAATGTAAATTGAACCTGTATTGTCATGCAATAAACAGACTTATTACTGAAGCCAAGTGCCTATTCTGTTTACATTCATCAATGGTCTATCCTCTACCACTGATAATTGAACAAGCCCTAGACTCAGCATAGACAAAGAATTGGTGACAGCTAACTTCCCAAACCAGAAAAACACATGCAGACAGCATCAGTGTCTGAAAATACGACATCTAACACCTAAAACCAGGTGCCTAGTTTGAGGAAAGTGAGCCTTAATTAGGTGAGGGCAAAAGATAAACAGACATAACATACAGAAAAGGAAACATAGAAGGAATGTGAGAGGCATGTCCTGTAGAAAATTCAGAAAAGCCTCTTTACCCAAAAAGTGATCAGAATGTGGAACTTGCCACCACAAGGAATAGTTAAAGCAGAAAGTACACACACATTTAAGGGGAATCTGGGGAAATATATGAGGGAGAAGACATTTGTGAGCTTTGTGATCAGATGAGGAAAAATGGGTGCAGGCTCAAGTGTAGCATAAACTCCAGCAATGTTGTAGAGACTATGTAATTCAATGCAAAAAGAACAAGAGAAAGACAATCCAGGTTAAATTTACAGAAGGAGACAAGTAGTGAGAACGAATCAGAAACATGCTCAACTTTAAGCAGCAGCATATCTTAAAAAATGCTCACATTCTCTCTCAGTCTGTGTAATATACAATATTTTTCCAGTGGCTTTCAATAATAGCTGACCCACTACTAGGCAAAACATTATCATCACTGTTCACCATACAGATTGCAACCCATTTAGCAAAAGCCTGAACTACTGTTAACAGTTGAAATTTTTTGGACACTAATTATACACAACCAGAACAGAATGTTGGAAATATTCAGCAATACCAACAGTTTTAAGTTTTATTTCAGATTTCCAAGATTTGCAGTATTTTGCTTGAGTATCTGGTGGGATTATTGGCAGAATCGGCCCAACCGGGTTATAGTTTTTAAGCATATCTGAATTAAGGAGGAGGCAGTTTGGATTCTGGAGTCCGCTCTGTCTTTCACTAAGATCATGGCTGATCTGACTGTGACCTCAACTCCACATTACAGGCTGTCCTAAAAAATCTTTGTATCCCTTATTAATCAGGAAGCTACCTTATTCCACTTTGAAAATATTCAATGATCCTGCCACCCCTGCTCTTTGCGAAGAGAGCTCCAAATACTCAGAACACTCCAAGAGAAAGAACATCTTCCTCATCTCCATCTTAAATGGGAGAACCTAATTTCTAGACTTTCCAACAAGGAGAGACATCCTTGCAGCTTGCAGCTGTTAAGTCTTCTCAGAATCTTATATTCTTCATCAAGATCACCAGCCTCCTTAACCCCAACAGATACAGACTCAGTCACTCACTTCATGTCCCTATCTAACATATTTATATATTAGAAACAATGCCTCTCACTATTTAATTTCAGTATCTTAACACTGGGCACCAAAGTACCCGACTTCATGACTATTACTGGGTCAAAATCCTGGAACGCCCTCCCTAAGGACATTGTGGGTCAACCTTCAGCACATGGACTGCAGCAGTTAAAGAAGACAGCTCACCACCACCTTTCAAGGGCAGTTAGGGACGGGCAATAAATGTTGGCCCAGCCAGCAATGCCCACATTCCACAACTGAATAAAAATACCATCACCTCACAAATAAAACACAAGAATGGACTCATCCATTTTGGGAACAAAACTCAAACTAATTAACAACTAGAAACTTGAAGCCATTGACTTTTTGCAAATTGAGCCATCAAGATTTTGAATCTATCACAACCATCTGTTTGTGAAGATACCATAAAATTATGCTCAGAAAATATTAAGGTATTTGATTTACTTTACAGGTGCTGTATCAAGAATGGGCACGATATGGAGTGTTTTATAAATACCAGCCAATTGATCTAATAAGGTACTTATTTAAACATTTCTCCTTCAGAAATTCCTGATGAAGGCTCCCTAATTGTATTGACAATAATTATGCAGTTGTGGAGTTTTAGAAAGTGATAGTTCATTGAAAATGCTTTAGTATAAATGTTATAATCACATGTGATCACTGCAAAGTTTCGTGGCAGCACATATCTAGAAGCGATTTATAGAGTTTGATTTTACTGATTCTTGGCCGACATAACCTTCTGTTCATTAGAAATAATTACTCATAAATGGTGTGTCCAGTAAATCAGAAGTTCTGAATATGCAGTCCCATTGTTTGAAGGTCTACAGTAGGATCATTAGTCAATGTGTTTTCATTTGTGTCCTCTTAAACAAGTGGTTTATAATTATTTCGTAATGCACAGAATAATGTTTTGTGAATTGCAAAATTGTGCATTAGGTGATAGGTTAACATGAAAACTTGTTGGATTGATGCTATAGTTCTTGGGTCAGTCAAGTAAAATCAGATCAGCTTTGCTGAGTGAATTCTCTGGTCCATGTTCCCATTAGTGGACCACTTGAACACTGGGTGAGGCAGAAATAGGTCTACTTTTGCCATGAGGATCCTTCATTGCACACAGTTCATACCTGGAGTGTTAGCCGCTGAATTAATCCAGACAGTTTTATCTTGCCTCCTAAATCAGTCTAATTCTGTTTCAATTTTACTAATTGTTTAATACTTTGTTAACATTCCCATCTTTCATAGGAAGTATTTTGGAGAGAAGATTGGATTGTACTTTGCATGGTTGGGACTGTACACGCAACTCTTGATGCCAGCGTCACTGGTTGGGATCATAGTGTTTTTGTATGGTTATGTTACAATAGACAGTGATATACCAAGGTAAAGTCTTACTAAAATAAAAAAGAAAGGAATATTGTTCATAATCTAATTGTTTAATGACCATAAATAAGAAATGCTAATTTTACTAAAACAACACAACTGCTATCTATTGTGTGGTCTTAAATCTTAGAAATAATACTTTAATATACAGAATTAGAATATCTATTATTAAATAGTATTTATTGTTATTGCTCAGAGGTACAATTTATGGAGTATTTACGGCAAAGAAACAGACTGTTTGGGTTAACTGGGCTTTATGCTCCATACAAGTCTTCTCCCACCAGATATATTCCCACCCTATCAGCAGAGACAGTGTCTGTTGACATGGGCATGTGCACTTATCTAGCTGATTCCACTTGCATGATTCCAGATCTAACATGTCATCAAGTAAGATTCACGTCTGACATCTTGCGCAGAGAAGAAGCGCAAACTTTTAAACGAGGTTCAGCAGTAGGCAGTGAAGGCAGGGGATGATGACAACATAAGGACAGGGGAGAGTAAGTACAGGAGGGGAGTGAGTGTAGGAGTGGAGTTAGGATGGGACAGGAATGAAGACAAGGGTAATGACAATGTGAGGACAGGGAGAGAGAAACAGGAAGAAAGTGAGGATGGGAAGGAAGACGGGGGTGATGAAAATGTCAGATGTGGGACAGAGAAGAGTGAGGACTGGATGGGAGGGGATTGAAGATGGAGTTGGAGGTATGGAGGTGTTGAGAATGTGAGAACAGCGGGTGGACAGTAAAGATGGGGTGGAAATGAGAATGTGGGATCAGGATGTCCCCTCCCCATCCCTTCCCCTCTTCTGCTGTCCCTCCCCCCTGCTCTCGTCACCTCCTCTCCTAAGTCTCGGGTCATGACATCTCCCATCCCCATCCCCTCCTGTGTCCTGGGCTGCACCCTCCAAACCCATTTAAATGCTCCTGCATGCATTTAAGTGGTGCATAGCGTAAAAGTGCTGGTAGAGCAAATACATAACCTTATTTCTCTCTTCTACCTTACAGACTTATTGAGCCTTTTTTTTAATACATCTCTGATTTTTCCTTCACAAAGTCTGTTTGGTGTCAGTTTTCACATTGGCATGACTCTCTGGATAAAGAGGTTACTGCTGAATTCCTTGTGATCAGCAAATACAAGTCACTGCTCGTGCTAGTTAGTTGTACCTAATGGCCCGGAAATTGGTTTGCTCAGCATTTAGTTTTCAGGTCCTCCTCAGGGAATGAAGGCCGCAGTGTGACAGGCAGTGAGCACATGCACTTACCCAGGTGGAAGTGTGCTCACACACTTTGCATTTCTGAGTGCGCTGATACTAGCTGTTCACAATACCCTTGTCGTTGTTCAAAGAAAATAATGAAATTAGAAATCGCATTCTTAAGTACAGGAGCATATACCAAAACGAAGATATAACAAAATCAAAGATCACTCATTCAATGAGATAAAGTTGGATAGGGCATTGTAGTGTAGGATTTGCAGGCACAGCAAATATAAATCATGTGTTTGAGACTTTACGCTGTTGGCATTGGCAGAAGATTGTGATTATAGTATGCACTTTCAAGGGAGGAAGCTTTTAGAAAATAGATTCAAATTTATCATAGCAAAGTTGACAGCAGGAAGTGAAATTTTGTAGGCGTTGTTGCTTTATAATCTTCTGTCCTGTATAATTTATCTACGTTATTTTAAAAATCTGTTGACTACATAAATGACTTATCTCTAAAGTTACAATGGATACAATATCTGCTGTTTAGTTATGGGACTTTATTACCTTGCTGTTGTAAAATATGGGCTCAGATTCTCACAGGTTATTGAAAATGCTTTCTGCCAATTAATTTTCCCTAGCAACTTAATATAAATACGAAATAAATAATTATACATTTACCAACAATGCAATTGCATTGAATTGTCTTTTAACGTCTTCTAACATTGTAATTAATTTTTTCATTGGGAGTCTCGTCTGTCGAAAATCTAGGCTCTGTCTTGATTATTTTGCACAGTTCATCATGTAATAGCTTTTGAAACCTCTTGGAGCCCGCCTATCTCTTCCTGATTATTCTTTTACTGCGTGTGTGGTAGTCCTCAAACTGAAGATGGTACTTGCTAATGGCAAGAATGGGGCTAATGGAATCTTTTAATGTTGTGGGGGGTGGATGCTGCTGCACAGTAGTAACCACATGGGTCTGGCAAACCAGAATACCCTCTCACTCTGACTACCTGCTACAGATGTATGGAAAGAATTTATAGATTGAAAATAAGACACCTCTTCTGTGACCATTTAGTCCTGGAGTGGGACATGGACTGAGCTTTTGGTCCAGAGGTAGGGACATAAATACTGTGTAACATGACCATCTTCTTCCTTTAATAGTTAATGAAATTAGCATTCATACAGGCCTGTTGTCTTAGCCATCCTCTCAAACAAGGATTAGTGAGTATCAAATACGATGAAATGGGCTAAAACATTACTTTTAAAATGAAGGAGGTTAAAAAGAACTTCCTTTTTATGCGAGTGTAAGCTATACCAGAGAATACCTATTTAAATTAAACTGATATTTATGATTCAGCACAGATTTTCATTATGCTTTCTCTTTTGTGTCACTTCAGTCTAGAGATGTGTGATGAGAAGAATAACTTCACCATGTGCCCGCTCTGTGATAAGTCCTGCGATTACTGGTACCTCAGTACTGCTTGTGCAACAGCACGTGCCAGCCATTTGTTTGACAATCCTGCCACTGTCTTTTTCTCCATCTTTATGGCTCTCTGGGGTAAGAAAAATGTTTGACCTTGGTTTAGCTTCTGGTCCAGTGTGAGAGAGCTGATTTTTGGAATGCTCTTTCTTGTCGTGTGCATTGGTATCTGAAAGTGTACATTGACAAATCATGAGCTGTATGTTTGACATTTCCTCATCAGTTCTCCTGGGGGATGAAGGGGCATGGATCTTTTATTTGTTTAGAAGATTAGCCTATTCCTAGCTCTGAAGAAGGGTCATTGGATACAAAACATTAACTCTGCTTTCTCTCCATAGATGCTGCCAGACCTGCTGAGCTTTTCCAGCAATTTCTGATTTTTAAGCCTATTTTTATAGTAATTATTAAATTTCTATTGATTAAAGGCTTTCTGAGAGAGTATTGCAGTTTTCAGCACACTTTGTTTTCTGTTTAAGTTACTGCTCAGGTAATGATGTTGAAGCTTAACCCCTTGTAGCATGCAGAAATCTTGCACTGACTGACACTTGTTCAAGTTTCAAATCTCACATATTGCTTTGTTGAGTCTATTAGTGTGGCTGAGGGAGTGATTTCTTCAATAAGCCTCTCAATATGAGATATTTTTACAATTGAAAAGCCAACCAATCAAAACATATAGAAGTAAAGTTCAAAGAAGTCTTGGCCAAAGCAAATATTGCATTGCATTTATAAAAATGGTCCTAAAGATGATACAAGATAACATGGTGTAGAGCTGCATGAACACAGCATTGGCAGTTCCTACTATCTCCCTAAAGATGATACAGTTCAGTTATGAGGAAAGTTTGGAGGAGTTGGGGCTGTTTGCCTTGGAGAAGTGAAGGTTTGGAAGAGATTTGCTGAAAGTTTTCAAAATCATGACCAATCTGAACAGAGTGGATAACAAGGAACTGTTTCCACACATAAGTAGGTCGAGAACCAGAGGACACAGTTTTAAAGTGTTTTGCAAAAGAAGTAAATGCGAGACAAGTTTTTTTTCATACTGTGAGTAGTTAGTGTATAGAATAAACTGCCTGGAAGCGTGGTAGAGGGAGTTTCAATTGAGGCATTCAAAAAGGCATAGAATAATTATTTAAATAGAAACAGGTACAGGGTTATGGGGAAGAGGCAGGAAATTGTCACTAAGTCAAAATGCTTGAAGAGCCAGTGCAGGCACAATGGGCTAAAATTACCCCCTTCTGCACAGTGACAATGATGTGATTCTGTGTTAACTGATACTTCGTCAATGATCAAGTAATTTGCATTCTCACTCAGGTATCATGGGAATGGAATGTTCTGCTTTATATTTTGGATTCAGTTAACCAAGTAATGGGCTCTCTGCCAAACAAGTAACTTTACCAGTTTATCGTCTAAAGTTGTTCTAAGAAGTGGATTGGTTTATACATTGCCAATACTTACCATACATTCTGCTTGTGAAGGGTTAATAGAAACATAGAAAGTAGGCACAGGAGTAGGCCATTCGGCCCTTTGAGCCTGCGCCACCATTCAATACTATCATGGCTGATCATGCAATTTCAGTATCCCATTCCTGCTTTCTCTCCATAGCCTTTGCTCCCTTTAGCCACAAGGACCATGTCCAGCTCCCCCTGGAATATACCTAATGAACTGTCCCCAATAGCTTTCTGTGGTAGAGAATTCCACAGGTCCACAACTGTCTGAGTCAAGAAATTCTTCCTCCTTTCGGTCCTGAATGGCTTATCCCTAATTCTTAGACTGTGACCCTTAGTTCTGGTGGGTACATGATGGGTAATTCCTGCCTGCCAGTGGCTACCTATGGGTCTTCTGACTTGGAAGGTTTGATCAAGCAATTTATTCACTCTGAAACTGCAAAACATTGCTCCTAGGTTGGTGTCCCCATTGTATTGAAAGCCAGTCAGGGAAACATACACAGAGATCATCAGATCTGAATCATGGCATTTCTGATTTTCCTGATGTTCATTTTAATGACTGGAAAGCCTGGAGCTTTGGAAAGTGGGTTTTCTGTCCTCTGTGTCCAGATTCTCTATGTCATTGACACTGTTCTTCAATTGTTACTAAAGATGTTTCTCTAATAAAGTGTTTTTAAAAATATATTTCATACATAGTATCGACCACAACCAGCCCTGTTTTAAAGAAAAACTGCAGTTGGTTAATCGTGTTTTAAGACCCTAGGTAGTAGGTCAATGGTTGACAATTGAACACATCTGCTTACGTCACGTACTTGGACCATAACAAACTTCATTCACACTTTTGTTAGTTAGATATTGAAAGAATGGAGAGCATCATAGTTTAGCATAACATTTCACAAGGTCTAATTTGCCGTTCATGTAGAGAATGTCATTGATTCATAGAATTTTAAAAGTTTACAGATTTCAACACTGCACTGTTTCAACAATAATCATCTGTCTTTGGAAGTTCCAAATTCATTTTTGTTAGCTCCAGTTATCTAGTACTTTGAATATCACGTCACTCTTGACCTACATATTTGAACCTGTCCAATCAATTTTTCAACCCTGCTGAAATACTGCAATTGCCCTAATCAAAGTTGCAAATTATATTGTCTGTGATTGTAACCATTTTACTTGTTTATCTCACCTGTTCTGCAGCTTTTGATATGATCGATTTTCAATTACCTCCAAAGCCCCTCTGCCATTTCCAGTTCAGAGATTGTGCTCTCAATTCATTTCACTTTCATCTCTCCAATGACAGCACTTCTGATGATTGTTTCTCTTTCCATATGCAGCATTCAGATCGAAGTCTCCAACAACTGTCCTGATCCCTCCACTGTCTCCATGTTATGTCATTGCTTATTTGAGCTTCAGTCCTGGAAGAGCAGTGAATTCCTTCGGTTGAATATTACAAAGATCTAAGCCATTGTCTTGGGTCCCTGCCACCAATTCTGCACTGTTTTTCTTTCTCCTGCTGGCCAGTATCTCCAAATGATCTGGATTCTTCACAAAATTAGTATTCTTTTGTACATGAGCTGAAATTGCAAGTCCATATCTCCCTTCATCTATCCATTGCAACATATTTATCCATTCCTTGATTATTTCCAGACTTAACTATTTGAATGTTCCTCTAGCTGTCATATCGTGTTCCACTTTCCATAAATTTTACCTCATCCAAAATGGCACTCTCTATATTTTAAGCCATACCAGGTTCTATTAACTTATCCATTTGATACTCCAATTCAAAGTTCTCATCCTTGTATTTAAATCACTTTGGCCCTCTTCTATCTCTGTAACTTCCTCCAGCCTTCAATAACTTAGCATTCCTCTGATACAAACCTTTTCTGCATTTCTTACACACTTCATCCTAGCTGTACTTTCAGTCTTCAAGGATAAACAGATGGGAATTTTCTCCCGAACCATTCTGGCTTTGCAGCTCCCGTTCCTCCTTTAATAACCTTCTTGAAACCTTCATCTTTCATCAACCATTCAAACTATTTCATTAAATTACAAACAAAAACAGAAATTGCTGGAGAAACTCAGCAGATGTGCGCGGAGAAAGCATAATCAACATTTTGGTTCCAGTGCCCCTTCTTCAGAACAGTTCTGCCAGGCCTGCTGAGTTTGTCCAGCAATTTCTGTTTTTGTTTCAGATTTCCAGCACCCTCAGTTCTTGGTTTTATTTTAGTTATCAAATTGCAATTCTGTGAAGCACGTGGAACTTTGGTTTTCTATTTCAAGCATTATAAGTTGAAAATTCTTGGTTTCATGAATATATATTGGATTTTCTTTGCATTTTTGACACTCATAAATTTGTTGACGCAGATTTCTCAGTAACTTTTTCTGCATCAGTGGTCACAATGTAATCTGATGAAAAACAATGCATGAGGAAGTAAGTAGGAGTTTGGATAATATTCAAATTGGCACTTGAACACATGGCTTTCCAGCAGTCCACCCTGCATTGAAACAACTTGTGTTTGGGTAATGCTTAAATCATACCAACAGCATGTCAGAGAGTATTCCAAGGAGTAATGTTTAATACAACAGTTAATTTGTAGATCGGAGCGATTATTCCACAGACATGGCCTCCAATGTCAACTGGCCTCCATGCTGCACTCCTGCATGTGCATGCTCATTGATGCACTTGGTATCTACAATGTGTACATTTATTATCAATGCCACCACCAATTTACCATGAATAATTAAATGACAAGTTGACCTAGCTCTGGGGTGTAAGGTTGAACAAGGTAATGGCCATTTTGAAATTGATTTGTGGAATATATTTCCAATTTGACAACTTAACATTTACGTCTTACATTAAAATATTTTTCTTCGCAGCAACCTTGTTTCTTGAATCCTGGAAACGTCGACAGATGAGTTTATGCTACCGATGGGATTTAACTGGTCTGGAAGAGGAAGAAGTGAGCAAACATTAGCATATTTTTTGTTTGCTTGATATATATTTATAACTTAAGACAATGCTTTCCACACTATTTCTCAACATGGCTCAATTTCAATGCCTCAGACTTCATATGACCCGGGAGTGAAAATTTGGGGCATGGGGAGTATGAGTGTTTTTGACTGGGGGGAGAGCTTCAGTTGCTAAGCCTAATCTTTCGATCTTGCCTGGAGTGGAGTGGGTTTGGGTTTTAGATTTTGATGGATTGGAGGTGTTGCTTTAGTTCTTTACTGGGGTTCGGGGAACAGGAGTTAAATGTTGCAGCAGTAGCAGAGTTTCTCCAAGAAAAAAGCGCCTATGTATTCATTGATTTCATTTGCAATAGCAATCAGTCTTCAGGGAGCAGTTGATCTGTCAGAAATCAGTCTGAGCAGTGTGGCAGCCATCTTGTCTCACATCCCCCACTGAAAGGCTTGCAACTCTCACACTTTGAGAAGTCCTGATTTAAGGCATCTCTGAAGATATTCAATAATGCCACACTTCCCAGTAGAAACTTTGCTTGACAAGAATGTGGCCAGAAATAGGGTTAGAACACAGTAACATTGATTGAACTTATTGAGCAAGACTTCCCACTGGAAAAATCTATGTATAAAGTAAGTGTCATGTGCATACCATGTACCTTATGTTTCAGAGAGTGTCTTTCTCTGTCTAATAGTGACAGCACTGATGGAAACTTAGGCCTAGTGCTACAGTCAGGCATCTCCTTTGATTTACAAGAGATGATGGATCGGGGCATCACAAGCTACCCAGCACACTTACAATGTCTTCTCACACAGTGTGGGAATGCTGAGGTTTCAGGTCTCTGAGAACATGTTTAGTTCCATGAAAGAGGTAGCTGCTGCCCTCTCTCAGGGTATCCGTCCTCCTCCTATTCCTGCAGCTTTTCAACCAGTGTTTCCTGTAAAATGTTGTAAATATTGTACTATGACAAGGATTTGGAGGAGATGTAGATTAAAGATTAACACTTGAATACATAAAGACAAAGCCTATCAGTGTTAATGTAATAAATCACATGATGTTAGACTCTGAAGAGAGAAGCAACATTCCAGACCTTGTGCTAAGTGTAGGTGTAAATATTTATTATATTATGAATAAAGAGTTACTTTGAAAAGGCCTTAGGATTCAGCATCCATTCTTTAGTAATATAGTGCACCCAACGTCCTCCAGGACCCACATGACAGCAGTAGAACCTTGTTGATGCCATACAGCCAGTTGGGCCGGGCAGCCCTGGTCAAAACTGTGTTTCATCAGGCTGCAACCAGGTTACCAATGGCCAAAGTGTTTTTGAGGCCACCTACCGTCCACCTCAAGTTCCCTCAGCAGTAGTTCTTATCCCTGTCCTAACCTAAGCTCTGCAGAGAAACCAGAGAGCCATCTCCTAGAAACCCCAGAATAGGTAAAAGGTACACAAGATGGGGCCCAAGGCTTTTCACAAGGCATTTGTAGATATATGGTAGTCATATTTGTATGATCAATAACTGTATCTATTGAAAGTGTAGATGTGTGTTTTTGGTATAGCTGTTGGTTTTTAATAATCTTTGCAATCTAACAGGAACCTTCATAAAATTGTATTCTTTGGCATATCGCTAAAATGGATGGTAGGATTAAATGAAATGGAAGAAGGCAGTAGTTTATGCTTTGAAGTTGGGGAAGCTGATCATATAAACCTCTATTCATTAAGATGCTGCTTTACAACTGAAGGAACTTAATGTGCTGCTGTGCTGTTGTCTATTCTGCAAAACATAGCTCCTCTTTTCCCTTTTTTTGAACCATCCTGTTGTTAAGTCTTCTTCCTGAAGCAGAAACAAGGTAATTCCCCTTTGGATAGCAAAATTATTGAGAATTAAACAAATGAAGATGAATCCTGGGGCTCATACTGGGTCCCTCTTTATAACTGATACTGTGGGAAGATACCATAGCATAGCATAGGAGTATGGGCATGGGCCTACAGGAATTGCTGGCCTGTAGTCACAAACAAGTCAAACACTGAGTGAATGGAAGCCTTCCTTGTTGGCATTCGTAGTTAGTCACTGATGGAGATCAGGCAGTGTGTGCAGTCTTAGAGTCATAGAGTCATTCAGCATGGAAACAGACCCTTCAGTCTGAATTTTCCATGCCAAACAAACATCCCAATCTGACCTAGTCCCATTTGCCAGCATTTGGCTTATATCCCTCTAATCCCTTCCTATTCATATACCCATCCGGATGCCTTTTAAATGTTGTAATTATTCCCACCTCCACCACTTCCTCTTACCTGTGGGAATCTAAACAATGCAGCAAACTCCAGTGCTCTTTCTTCAGCCTCCACAAAAGGGATGAGAAATTACTGTTGCCTTGGAAATTGTGCATCAGTGACCTGCTGAACAGTCATGAACATAACAAACTCAGTTTTGTCTGTAGTATGTACCAGGAGCATATATGTTATGAACTTGCCTCTTATCAAAATTATCGAAAAAAAAGTTCATAAAATTCATTCTGGTGAGAAAGCTTACTCATCTGGATAAAGTTCTTGCTGAAGTTAAACATTTTGAAGAGAAATTGGTGCTGGAATATATCCCAAGAAAACTAAATAATCTTCACTGTGTTCATATAAGGGGAGAGAAGTCCATCTAATGAAATTGCTTAAAAATGTAGGGTAACTCAGAAAGGAGACTGTTCACATTATATTTTTTGCTTGATTATTTGCATAAAGGAACATTGGAAGAGAGCAGGATCAGGTTTCTGTGCCCCAATAAGACAAGAAACATTATATAACAGGAAACCAACAGGTTCTTTGTAATGGCATTAATATCATTAAACTTTTAGTTATTCTCCTAAAGGATAAACAAACCAGTGTGAGAAGAAAGCTTGAACTTGCATTTTGTATTGCGCAATTCACAATCTCAGGACTTTTCAAGACACATGATAGCCCTAAAGTATTTACTCAGGATGGGCCTTTAGCCTCTGACCTTCTGACTCAAAGGATAGAGTACTAATTCCAAGCTGAGACTGATCCAAAATCAAAAATAATCAAAGGTCATTTTTGAAAACCCCAATAATGGAAGGAAGATGAATTAGTGAGATTTTCAAACAAGGAACAAACTCTCAAACAATGCAGTCTTCATTGACTTTGTGACATAACTTTCCAAGGCTGACAGTCAAGAGTTGGCATGTGAGTGTTCCTATCAGAAACACAAAATTACCTCACTCATGTCTTTCAAATTTATGTTCCCAATATTTAATACTGTTTCATAAATCTGAATGGCTGAGTAGAATATTATCACTTCAAATCAAAGAACCTCAATCCATTCCAGACTAATGGAATGAATGTATCTTGTCTCAATCAGATAAAAAGCTTTCGATGTAAAATGAGTCTTAATCCAATTCCTAAAGGATGTAGATTCCCATCACACAGCTACACATACCGCCATATCAAATGACAGTAAATTGACACTAGGTTACAAGAATGACGGTATTAGAAATATGAAAACACAAACATAGATTAATTAGGGTAAGCTCTTCCAGGATTAGCCTTAAACTGTTTGCTTCAATGCAGTGGGGATGGCTATACTATATGTCCTGCTATACTACAGATGTAGCAATGTGCCTCAAGCAGTTGCTGGTCTGAGTGGGTGTGTTCTTTTTTCAGCACTGACATTCACTTCAAAGATGACAGTAATCCATCAACAATTAATTTACAATAATATTTTAGAAACTAGAAGAACTTCTGCAATCATTTATTTTTTATTTTGCTCTGCAAGTCTGTATCCTGATCGCAAGAAATAAACTATGCTGTTACTTCAGCTGGAGTATAACTTGTTGCAGCAAGTGCCAGCTAAATATTACAGAGAGTTCAAGAACTGATTATATCAGCAATCTTATAATTCAGCCAAGGACATATAAGTGGAAGTTTTGCTTCAAGTATTTGTGATACATTTCATTATTTGCATAAGTATTGATCCAAACAAATTAAAAGTTGCCTGAAAATAACACATCAGGCTTTAGCATGAGTGCTTGAAATGATCAAATAAATTTCTATTCTGTGGCTTATTCATACAAAGTAAATCAGTGTTGTAGCCAATTGTATTCTTGAAAGTGCTACAAATAGATTATTGTCTTATGCTCAGAATGGAAAATAGATTTAAACTTTTTGAAACAAAGACAGAAATTGCTGTAGAAACTCAGCAGAAACTTCAAATCTAAAGACGGATCACTGAACTCAAAATGTTAACTTTGCTTTGTCTCCACAGATGCTGCCAGACTTGCTGAGTTTCTCCAGAAATTTCAGTTTTTGTTTCAAATTTCCAACCTCTGCAGTTCTTTGTCTTATTTAAAATATTTTGAAAGTCTGCTTTAATACATTTTCCTTCCTTTTTTATTGCCAATAATACATCAAGGAGCATATGCAGGTTTGACATACTTTGAATGCAAACATCAAGATTGGCTTTTTCTGCACTTTAATGCTTACATCAACTGATGAGTAGTATCTGCCAATATTTAACTATGAATAACATACTGGAGTGTCTGTACTGCAATTCTCCTTAGGCTCATGTATGCTTTCCAAGATGCATACCTGGAACTGTATACAGTACTCCAGATATAATCTAAGCAAGGCTTTGCGTAGCTGTAGAAAATCTTTCTCCTCTTTATATTCTAGCTATTTTAATATAACTTTATATTAGCATTTTTGAAATTGTCCGCTATATTTCAGTAGTTTTTTAATGGACCTCTAATGTTCTTTGGCTCTTCACTATGCCCAGCTTTTATTCATTTTAAAGAAACTTTCGAAAAAGCTCATCTATTTATGGATGAGAATAAATAGACTAGAAGTATAGTCTATAAATAGATAGAATAGAATAGACTCACACACTTGGAATCCGTATGACAGTAATTTGCTCTGTCATTTAATCTATCAATGTATCTTTGTAATTTTATATTGCTGCCTACACATTATTATACCACCCATCTTTGTGCGATCAGAGTTGGACACAGTTCTCTAATGTGTATCATGTCATTAATATGTATATATATATTGAATTGTTGAAGCCTCATCATAGCTCTATGTCTTCTTTATTCATTTGTGGATGTGTGCATTGCTGGATGGGCCAGCATTTTTGCCCATCACTAGTTGACCTCGAGAAGGTGGTGGTGATCTGCCTTCTTGAATCTGTGGGATTACGGTAGTCACTTTGAATATATATCAATTACACCAATCTTTCACCACTGAACCAATCTCCCAATCAGGTCAATCATTTGCATTAAGTTTAAATTTAATTCTTATTTCAAACCATATTTAATGCTTGGTAGAAGTCAATAAAAACTGCATCCATAACTAAGCCCCAGTTCTCTAGTTACTTCCTGGGAAATGTAATAACATTTTGCAAACATTACCCAACCTTTTAAAATTGACCTTGTGTCTCAATCAGCTCAAATTTGTACAGTGCTTGGTCTGTTATTTCTTGATTATAAATTGCAACAACTTTGCCACGAAAGATATTAGGATAAGAACTCTATGATTTCCTGATTCTTCTAGCTCACCTTTCTTCAACATAGAGTTACAATTCCAATTTTCCAATCTAAACCCCTGAACCAATAGAACTTTGTAAGTTCTAACTAAAGCATTTGTGATTTTTTTCACCAACTTTGCTTGAGATTCTGGGGGTTTACCAAACATTATCAGCACTTTTCTTTAACCCTTTTTCTTGCTTCCTTTAACTCATTTTTTGCTACATTTAAGTGCTTATACCAGGAGAAAAATAATAGCACTTGGCAGAGTTTTAGTGCTTATATCAGAAGAAGAAGAATCTTCCATTAATTCAGTCTTTGTGTCTTGTTTGTGTGTGGTCTGCTTTTAGGAGCATCCAAGACCAGAATATGAATCCAAACTTTTGCAGAAGAAGCTTTTAAGAGAAGGAAAGGATCGAAATGTGAGTTATTTTATAATATTTGTTATGTTATAGTTGCTGTCGATTTGACATCTGAGCATTGTGATAATTAATGTCAGTGTTTATGTTATTATAAAATCATAAAATGAATCAGAGCAGAGTTACACTTCAACCAGAGGCCATTCAACCCATCAGAGCCATGCCAACTCTCCACAAAAGCATCTCAGCTACTCCCCATTATTTCCATAAGTTCAATGTTTGTCTTATTGTGATCAAGATTTATCTGACTATGATAAATACTCCTCTTATTGCAACCAATGTTATTGTACTTGTACTTTTCATTACTGTGATCCTTGTTTGTCCTAATAATAACAAACATTATTTTATAGCAACAAAAGAAGGAGCAGGAAGGCTGTGCACTAGGCAAAAGCAAATGGAAAGATGAGGTCTTATCAGCCATGGGTGGGATAAATCTGGTAAGTACAATTCTTCATAGCAACCTGACACTGCTTAAACCATGAATCGCTAATCAAAACTCAATTTATTCCAAAATTTATTGAGTTACAATTGGAAATTTATGTCTTAGGGTTTAAAGGTCTGAAAGGAGTACATTTGGTTTTTGTTAAAGACCCCCATTGGTAGGTAGTGGCCTATGACAATGTCACAGAGCTAGGAGTCAGAAGCCTTGGCTAATTCTCTGGCTGTGTGTTTAAATCCCACAATGGTGGCTGGCATAATTTAAATTCAGTTCATTTAACCTGGTATTATATTGTGACAACCATGAAACAAATGTTACAAAAACCCAAAATAGTGGGAACTGCCGATGCTGGAGAATTTGAGATAACAAGGTGTAGAGCTGGATGAACACAGCAGGCCAAGTAGCATCAGATCTCTGATGCTGCTTGGCCTGCTGTGTTCATTCAGCTCTACACCTTGTTCTCTCACAAAAGCCAATCTGGTTCACTAAAGTCCTTTTATCGCATATCCGGCCGAGGTATAAATCCAGCCTCAAGGGAATGTGGTTGGCTTTTTAGTGCTCTCTGAATTGTCACTCAGATGTATCAAACTGCTACACCGTCTAAGCGAAGAAATTAAACTGGAAATATCATCTAGCAATGACCTAGGCACCAAAGAAAGACATTGGCATTCCCAGGCCTACTAACACTCCGACCTCCTCTTCATTAACGTTTGAGGGGCTTTTGCCAAAATTGGGGGAATGATTCCACAGATGAGTCAAGCTACAGCCTGGCATATTCACATTCCTAAAATGATGCACTTACTACCCTGACTGCACTGCCCCTACCACTGCCCTATCCTCCTCCCTTAGTGTCGAATCACTCTTCCATGTTGAGTACCAACTGGAAGATGTCTGAAGGTGGCAGGGGTACAGAATATACTATTGGCGGCAGACCTCCATGTTCACCACCAAAAATGGCAGCTTGCACCACTGCAGACTGGGCTAGCCAAGTCCTAAAGGACATAACCACTAAACTGGCTCTATGGTGGTTGCTGAGAAGACTCTCAAGAGGGAAAATCTTAGTTGACCTCATGCTTGCCAATCTACCTGTCATAGATAGATCTCGTGGATCTTTTCATAAAAGTAATTTATTTAACTCTCTTGCGGGAGGTAGGCATCTGTAGCTGTGCCAGCATTTATTGCCCATCCCTAATTTCCCTTGGGAAGGTGGTGTTGAGATGCTTTCTTCAACCATTGCAGTCCAAGTAATATAGGTAGATTCACAATACCCTTAGGGAGGGAATTCCAGGATTTTGACCCAGCAATGGAGAAGGAATGGTGATATATTTCCAAATCAGGATGGTGAGTGGCTTGGAGGGGAACTTGAAGGTGCTGGTGTTCCCTTGCATCTACTGCCCTTGACCTACATGGAAGCGGTCATGGGTTTGGAAGGTGCTGTCTAAGGAAGTTTTGTGAATTTCTGCAGGCCATCTTGTAGATAGTACACAATGCTGCTACCAGGCATTAGTGGTGGAGGGAGTGAATGCTTGTGGATGTAGTACCAATCCACCGAGCTGATTTGTCCTGGATGGTATAAAACCTCTCGAGTGCTATTGGAGCTACACCCATCCAGGCAAGTGGGGAGTATTCCATTACAATCCTGAGATGTGCCTTGTAGATGGTGAACAGACTTTGGGAGTCAGGATGTGAGTTACTCATTGCAGTATTCCTAGCCTCTGACCTGCCCTTGTAGCCATTGTCTTTATGTGGTGGGTGCAGTTGAGTTTCTAGTCAATGATAACCCCCACGATGTTGATAGTGAGGGATTTTATGAAGGTAACGCCATTGAATGTCAAGGGGCAATGGTTTGATTGACTCTTATTGGAGATGTTCAATGTCTGGCTTTTGTACGGCATGAATGTTACTCACCATTTATCGGCCCAAGCTAGGATATTGTCCAGACTTCATTGCATTTGAACATGGACTGCTTCAGTATTTGAGGAGTTGTGAATAGTGCAGAATATTGTACAATCATCAGCAAACATTCTCACTTCTGACATTATGATGGAGAGAAGGTCATTGATGAAGTATCTGAAGGTGGTTGGGCTGAGGACACTACCCTGAGGAACTCCTGTCCTGGAGCTGAGACAACTGACCTCCAACAATCAAAATCATCTTCCTTTGTGTCAGGTATGACTTCAAACAACAGAAAGTTTGCACCCTGATACCCATTGATTCCAGTGTTGCTGGGCTCCGAGATGCTATACTCAGTTGAATGCAGCTTTGATGTCAAGGGGAATCACTTTCCCCTCACCTCTGGAATTCAGCTCTTTTGTCCATGTTTGAGTCAAGGCTGTAATGAGGAGCTGAGTGGCCCTGGCAGAACCCAAACTGGGCATCGGGCATCACTGAGCAGGTTATTGCTGAGCAGGTGCTGCTTGATAACACTGTTGATGATACATTCCATCACTTTACTGATGATTGAGAGTAGACTGATGGGTCGGTAATTGGCCGGGTTGAATTTATCCTGTTTTTTGTGAACATGATCTACCTGGACAATTTTTCACATTATCAGGTAGATGCCAATGTTCAGACTCTATTGGAAAGCATGGCTAGGAGAGCAGCAAGTTCTGGAGGACAAGTCTTCAGTACTATTGCCGGAATGTTGTCAGGGTCCATAGACTTTCCAGCATCTACTACCTCCAACCGTTCCTTGATATCATGTGGAGTGAATGGAATTGGCTGAAGACTGGTATCTGTAATGCTGGGGACCACCAGAGGATGCCGAGATGGATCATCAACTCAGCACTTCTGGCTGAAGATTGCTGCGAAAGCTTCAGCCTTATCTTTTGCACTGATGTGTTGGGCTTTTCCATCAGTGAGGATGGCGATATTTGTGGAGTCTCCACAAATATTCCAGTGAGTTGTTTAATTGTCCATACCATTCCCAAATAGATGGGGCAAGACTGTTGAACTTAGGTATGATCTGTTGGTTGTAGGATTGCTTTGCTCTACCTATCACTTGCTGCTTATGTTGTTTGGCACGCAAGTAGTCCTGTTTGAAGGCTCCACCAGGTTTACATCTCATCTTCAGGTATGCCTGGTGTTGCACTCTCCACTGAACCAGGGTTGATCCTTTGGCTTATTGATAATGGTCGAGTGGGGAAATGCCAAACCATGAGGTTGAGGATTGAAGGTGTGTTGGAATACAGTTTTGCCGCTGTTGATAGCCCACAATGCCTCATGGATGCCCAGTCTTGAATTGCTAGATCTGTTTGAAGTCAATGCCACACAACACAGTGGAGGGTATTCTCAATGTGAAGGTGGGACTTCAACTCCACAAGGACTATGTGGTAGTCACTCTTACTGTCATGGGCAGAAACATCTATAGCCAGCAGATTGGTAAGGCTGAACTCAAGTCTGTTTTTCCATCTTGTTGATTCCCTCACCACCTGCAGCAAACCCACTTCAGTGGCTATCTCCTTTAGGACCCGAGAAGCTCAATCAGTAGTACTGCTGCCGAGCCACTCTGGGTGGTGGACATTGAAATCCCCCACCCAGAGTACATTTTGTGCTCTTGCCACCTTCAGTGCTTCCTTCAAGTGTTGTTCAACATGAAAAGTACTGATTCATTAGCCGAGGGAGGATGGTATGTAATAATGCGCAGAAGGTTTCCTTGCCCATGTGGTGACTGGGACATTGTCTGTAAGGTATGATTCCATGAGTATGACTACATCTGACTGTTACTTGACTAGTCTGTGAGACAGCTCTCCCAGTTTTGGCACTAACCCCAGAGATTAGCAAGGAGGACTTTGCAGGGTCAACAGGGCTGTTTTTGCAGTTGTTATTTTAAGTGCCTAAGTTGATGCCAGGTAGTCCGTATGGTTTCATTTCTTTATTGAGACTTTGTAGCAATTGCTACAACTGAGTAGCTTGCTAGGCCATTTCAGAGGGCAATTTAGAGTCAATCACCTTGCTGTGGGCCTGTCACATCTGTTCACAGACCAGTTGAGGACAGCAGATGTCCTTCTTTAAAAGATATTAGTGAACAGGTGGGATTTTCATGATCATTAGTAGATTCTTAATTCCAGATATTTTATATTGAATTCAAATTGAATGCAGCACAGTGGGATTAAAACCCAGGTCCCCAGAACATTAGCCGAGTACCTGGATTTATAGTCAAGTCATAATATCACTAGGCCATTGCCTCCCCCTAAATTAGTAGCAGTCATCACTGCATAGTCATTTTGAGATGCATCCAGAATTGCTGAGTGGATGATCCATCTCGGCCTCCTCCTGATGTCCCCACTTTGAGAGCCAGTCTTCAGCCAATTTGATTTCTTTCCATGTGATTTCAAGTAATGGTTGAAGGCACTGGATACTGGAAGGCTATGGGCCCTGATAATATTTTAGCATTAGTATCCAAGACATGTGCTCCAACCTTGCCAAGTTGTTCAAATCCAGCATAACATTGACATCCACTCAACAACATGGAAAATTGCCCAGGTATGTCTTGTTCACAGAAATCAGGACAAATCCAACCCAGCCAATAACTGCTACTTCAGTCTATCTTCAAATCATTCATAAAATGATTCGGTACACGGGACAATCAATCAATCAACCAATCAAAATGATGGAAGCGGTCATCAACAGTGCCACCTAGCAACAATGCTCAGCCATTACCTGCTCGCTGCAGCCCAGTTTTTAGGTTGTGCCTAATTCTGTCATGACCCGAACACATTGCAGCCTTGGTTCAAGTGTGAACAAAAGGGCTAGAGGTGAAAAGAGATTGAGTCCCCTTGACCTAAAGGCAGAAATTGACCAAGTATGGCATTAAGGAGCCCTAGCAAAACTGGAGACAATGGGAATCAGGGGAAAAACTCCCCACTTGTTGGATTTATACCTCACACAAAGGAAGTCAGTTGTGATTGTCAAAGGTCATTAATCATCTCAGTCCCTGTGGGATTTCCTCAGGTCCTGGGTCCACCAATCTTCCTCTGCTTCATTAATGAACTGCCT